AATTTGTGGATTCTTTTTCACTGGAGAGATCTTAACAAAACTAAAAAACTCTTACTCCGTAAACAAAGAATGGCTGGTTAGGATTATATTTTAATATATGTAGTTTTCATTCATGTAGTATTACAAATATGACGTGTGACGGCTATCATGACCAATAATTAGATCAGTACTCGACAAATAGTTTTGTCAAGTTAGTTTGGTTTTTACTTAAATTCTTACCTCTTTCAGACATGACAATTGCTAAGTGCCAGAGATCTTCCTTTTTATCATTTTTCTTTAAATATTGATGGATAAGAAAATAAAATGTAAGACTGGCATATATTACCAACTAGACTTAGTTATCTCAAAAAACTAAGCAATATATACTGCATTAAATTTAGCACAAATTTGACAGCTATCCATTTCTAATTCTCAAACATATTTCCTAACACTGATTTCTAATAAAAATACTGGATATCCAAGAACTCTCAAGTCATAGATACCCCTTTAAAAAAAAAAATAGGTTGGTTATGTCACCAAAAATGTTGATTTAAATGGGATCATTGGGATAACATTTTAATAGTTAAAATGTTTCAAGAATGTGAAAGACGTCTATGGCCATGCCACCCTGAACAAGCCTGATCCCATCTGATCTCGGAAGCTAAGCAGATTCGGACCTGGTTAGTACTTGGATGGGAAACCACCTAGGAAGACCAAGTGCTGTAGGCGTAAAAAATAAAAATAAACAATAAAAAAAATGTGAAAGACTTTTGATGCTTTTTTTAACCTGTACTCTTATCATCCTTGAAACCAGAAGTGTGAAGTTAGTCTTTTCATTCACTCCATGTCCTAAATCCAAAATCTTCAAATCACTCTATACTATATTTTAGATAATCAGGATTCTCATAGCACTGAATACAAAATGTACCTCGCATTATTCAGTAATATATCTCATATTGATAAAAAGTGAGACAAAGAAAATTGTGCCATAACATAGAAAACCCTTGAATTTTGGAATGTAATACAATATTGTATTTAGACAAATATTAAGATAAAACATGATTGTTACATGGATAGCTCAGGAAAATATTTACAAGAAATTTTATTCTTCCCAGTAAAATGAATTATCTTTTTCAAAATGAACTTTTCTGTTTATGATATAGTAGGAAAATATGTGGAGACTCTTATCTTTCCATTTCTATTTTCTTCTTTCAGTCTATTTTATGCTTTATGTGTTTCTAAAAAATGTTCATGAATTTCATGGAGAAAATAAATTACATTTTCCTGGAGAAAAGCAGTTTGGAGGGTTAAGATAAAAAAATATGGAAGGTTTGTTGCTGTTGCTATAAATTTTTTGGTATCTCTTTGTATATTCTTACTGTGGGTATGGTATTAAGAAATGGAAATTCCAGTCCTGATTCTGCCATTTTATAAAAGTAAAGAATATCTACCCTACCTTTCAATACAGACTACTTATGAGACTACAAGTTTTTGAAAATTTATAAAATGCCATAATTATAAAAATGTGTAGTTCCAAGGAAAAAGTCCACTATATATAGTTGCTAGGTTAACATCCTAGCAACTATATATAGTGGAAAATATTAATAGTGCCATTATTGCATCATAATTATTATGAGGCATAATTTGGTTCTTGTTATAATAAATCCAGTAACTTCTAATACATGTGCAAAAAAACTAAACTTATGCTGTTCTCCAAAATGAAATGAAAGTATCTAGGTGTTTATACATATTTGCTTTGTAAACGATCCAATTCAAAATATTATCACTGATTTTAAAAACAAGTGTACTTTGACCCAGCAGTTGAGAATGTATCTTGAGGAAATAATGTGTTCAAGGATACACCATTTATATTAAAATTTTTTTAAAGTAGAAAGGCCCTCAGTGCCCCAAATGAGGATTGATTCAATACATTATGATTCATCTACAAATGAAGGGGCTTTGAAAATGGTATAAACCAGTTATATTACAAATGGAAAAAGACCACAGAATAGTATACAACTCCATTTTAAAATATCTAGTGATCATTTATAGATAGGCCTTCATCTTTTGTCATTTTATTTGGAATTTCTAGCTTTTCTATAATAATATATGTGATTTTTTATAAGTATTTAAAGACCGAATTTTCATACTTTATACAGAAATACTTCTCAGGTTAAGTGAAAGCTGACAAAATGCTCAATCTGCAAATAGTCCATAGGAGCTGGCAATATATATGTAAAATATAGAATTTTTAAAAATAATTTTACCAAGTGTGTCATTAACCAAAGTCCTCTATAGTATTTCAAGCCAGAGTCCTCTATTTTACAACTAGACCTCTTTAACCAGATTTTTATCAAGACATAGGCACTTTTGAGATAATGTATTTTCTCATAGCAGTTGTCACTATGGAAGAGAGATTATCACCAAGCTTATTTAACCCACGTTATAGATGACAGAAGGTATATCTGCAACGAAAAACAAAATGAAATTTATTACTTGATAAAATTAAATATGAAATGAATATGCTGATTACTGGAAAAGCAGGTTAAATTAGAAAAGATATATTTGAATAAGTGTGAAAATTATGGAGGGAAGTTCTAAGAACTTTCAATAGCTTTGGAGGTTGACAGTATAAGTACTTCATGTCTAATTTTACTTTACAATCTATGGCAGTCCTTCTTTGCCATCACAACATTTTTATACTTATCACTCATGATAAGGAGAAACTTTTCAGTCCCCAATGGAATAAAAAGAAAATTTCTGGAAGTAAAGAGGCAAGAATTAGGGAGAAAGAAGGTATGCTGGATTTGTATATATGTGAGGAAAAGAGTCATTAGGCCAATAACTCACTGGTACCAAAGGTGATTTAGAACAATTTAAAGTGAGAATGGAGGATAAAGAGGGAAAGGGGCACTATGAAGCCATTTCTCTGAACATTTTCAGAATTCTCAATTGTGCAATGACTGAGGGCTACAAATTTTTCTTTCTATTCTATATTAATGTAATTGATGCAAGATTCAGAACAATTTTAAAAAGTTAACAACTGCTTTTAAGTAAGACTATTTTATTTAAATTTTTCTCAAAATATAAAAATAATAAACATTATGGATATTTAACAAAACATAATTCAACTATAAATAATAAAAATGTTGACAACCCCACATACACATGTAATACTATAAACATTCTAAGCATACAAGAGTAGTTTTCTAATTCAAGTTTTACCTTTTTCAGTTCAAGTTTTATTACTTTTAAAAATAAAAGAAAAAAAAGCTGCTACAGCTTAACCAATTACTTTCGCTCCACTCAAAGAGCAGGGAATTTTCCCCCCATGCCAACACACACATTCGTGAAATGAGATACTTATGGGCACAGGAATTAAAAACTGGAACAATCCAGTCTCCAGACAAGAAAAGACTCCTTTGGTGTTTCTAGGTTCAACAATCCACAGAAATCGAGTTTAACTAAACCACTTATTAAAGGAAATCTTGTGCCAGACAACATGTTCTGAAGTAATATCACACCCAAAACAGGGTCAGGATTCTGAGAATCAAAAGTAAACATCTATGAATGCTTTGCTGATACTTAAAAATTGTATCTTAAGAACATTCACTAAGGTGCTGGAATGGTTTTGTAGAGAACAATCTACACATTAAGACAAAACTTGTACAATGTAAATAATACATCTCTTTCCAACTCATCAAATGTTCTATAAATATTTAAGAATTACCCTGCCTCCTGTTGAGTAAAAGACAGATGGGAATTTAAAGCAGAGCAGGATTACATCATATTTTAGGACTAGGAAAGTTTTCCATTTGAAATATGGGAAAACTGAGCCATGCTGGATGTATCCTTTTTTAGTTCTAGCCAGATTAACACCATTTCTCTTATCAAAAGAGCTAATGACAAACTGAAGAAACTATTTTCTTTTCGGGAAACTGGGCAAAAATCAGTACACTGTCATTCTGCATCTTTAAATTATGGGGTATTTCTAATGGGCTGGGCTCTTTACCTGACTCATCGCAGACCACTTTTATGATTATGCTGATAGATTAGAATAAATCACAAGCAATCACAGATTAAAGCCTAGCAAAGTCTAGATCTAAATAGGTTCAAAAATGATATTGAAAGGTTTTGTAGCACCGATGACTTTTTCCTAAGACACTTGGGGGCTGCATCACTTTAAAGTATTATTTCTCCTGTAAACAAGACCAAAAATATTCAGTTGATCTGTATTTTGAGCATAAATATTTATAAACTCTATTAAAAAAACAAATATAGCATGACTAGAGCAGCTAATAGTGTAAAATCCAAGTATATTGAAAAATATAAAGATATATAAAATGCTTCCATAATGCAATCATGCAGAGGTAAATTGCTTCATTCGATTACACAAAAGTGATTCTGTACAGTTATCTACACACAGCTCTATGAGAATCCTATTCATAAAAATAAAATGAAAAATCCTTTAATTAATCAACAAACGGGAATTTAACTATGTAACTGACCTACTGGATCTCAGCAGTTTTCAAAAAGTGCAATGATCTTAATGAGAATCCAATCATCTCGACTCTGATTCCAAATGGCATGTTTAATTTTGTTTTGCTTTATTTTTTATTTAAAGGCAAGGGAAAAAAAGATGACAAGATAAAATTGAGAGTGGTGGTATGTGGTCCACATTCATTAACTAATTAAAACTGTTAACAGCAAATACGGTCTCTTCAGAAACGTTCTTTGGGTTTCTAACTGACCTCGGAGGTAAACCACTATTACACGGGCCAAGACTCTTTCCTTGAAAAAATGCTGAATATGGGAAAATACTTACAAACTCCCTGCAGCTATATGCTAGTTTGCAAATATAAACTAAAACTAAAGTCTAATTTAAAAAATGCCTTGGAGGCTACTAGGTCATAATCATGTTAGAGGATCTTCCAAAATATGTAATTTTCCTTTAAACCAAGCCTAACATTAACCATGCTGTCTCTAACTAATAAGGATCAAAAGATAATTTACATTATGACTGATGTGTTCATTCTTTTTTATTTTTCATGAAGACAAATGCAGTGCATACTCAAGAAAAAAGTGTGCAGAACAGTCATTTTTACACAAAAAAAGTGAAAATATGAGCATGGACAAGGGTAAATAAAATTAAATATAATTTGGACTTTTCTAATAAAGAGTTGCTATCGAGTATAACTTCCAAATTCTCAAACGCCTCATGAGAATCTATGAAAGAATACTAAAAAATTAATTTTCTGAAAACTTTTTTATGGTGCCCATTATAAAAAGGGTATTATGGATAAATACTTAGAATAAAATTCAATCATACTCTATAAATAATTCTAAGCCATACTGCTTACACATAATATGGGCAGATACCTTTTAAGACAGGAAAGCTACAGCAGTCTTTAACAATGTTAGACACATAACCCCTTGCTTTTATCTTTGATGTCTTGATTACAAGCGAGAAAAATGTAAGAAAACTGTGTAAATTAGACATCTAATAGATATTTCTCAATATTTATAATCCACAGGCCATCCTGCATTACTTGAAAAGAAAATTATCCTCCTTGTTGCTTTTGAAGAGCTAGTTTAAAAAATATTCTTCAGGTGAGTGGTCTTGGCAAACTCTTCAGTAAGTATATTTAGAATAGGTAAGTTATTACAGTGTGTAAAAAAGTATTTTACCATCTGTTCAAAATTATTTTAAGTGATTATCCTAACCCCTGAAATGTATACTAAAACCTAAAAAAATTAAAACCAAACCCATATTTAACTTTTTAATCATTTTCTTCATTTTAAATTGTTCATGCTAATTAACACAGCATCATAGCTTTATAGATTTCCTAGAAACGATTCTCAACTTGGCTGAGACTGAAGTTATCTCATTAGAAATCAAGAGGTCTTTTTATTTTGTGTGGTGTTTAAAAGGTAAATGGTTATAAAGTGGAGAAAAGATTTAAGGTCAAAGCACACACTCATATACTTCTGGACTCAGATGTACCCTTAGAGAACTGTAAAGATAAAATGCAAATTATGGTACATGTAAACATCTAATCAAACTGATAAAGAGCAAACATAAAATGACAGAATGATATTATAACAGTCGTCTCCAGACAGGAACAGGTCTTGCTGTTGTAGTCGCAAAGCTAAATTCAGGCAATGATGATCTCTCTCTGCTGGAAAAAGAGAAGACTATTAAAAAAAAAAAACTTTGAAAATAGTAAATAAATCTAAAAATTGAATCACAGCATAAACTAACCTCCAATTTTTCTCAACATAAAAAATCTATCTGAGAAAAGATCAAAATCAAAGTTGTACACAATTTAAAAAAAAAAAAAAGTCTTTGGCTTAAAATGATTTTAATGAAACCTCTTTGCATCATGTTTCCTCAAAACATTAAGCTGCACAGATCATAGCTCTACAACATGGCTATGACCTAGAATTTTTGGTTAGGAAATGTAGTAACTGACCAGATAGTAAATTTTTATAGAGGTGTGGGTAGGCAAAAGTAATTAAAAAAAAAATCGAGAACAAATTCCAAGATATTATATATAAAAATGAAAGCAAAAACAATTATCTTAACTTTCCCAAAGATTTCAAAGTAACTGCAAGTTATATCTAGTTTCCTTATACTCCATATGATAATCATTTCATTTTTTAGTCACATTATATGACATAAAATTCTATACTACGCACAATGATTAACAACAAAAATAAATAAAAAGGAACACATCAAAATGAGACAGCACTTGGTATACAAAGGAAGACTAATTTGGGATGATGGGAAGATAGATGAGTGGATGGATGAAATGAAGTAATAGGGAAGGAGGGATTAGGAAGAAGCAAGTATAATAAATTAATATCAATTTACTAAAATAAAAAATGCTTTCAATTATACTAAGTGATGAGTATCATAATACTTATAAATTGCAAGAAAATTATTTACCGAGTTAGGAATTTTTCTACTAAACGATGTTTCATTAGAAATTACTAAGGATGGCAGTCACGTTCACCATGATATCTTTCTTAGGACTTTTAGGTAGCTATTTTGGAAAGTTATCTGCTGTTGTCTGATAGGTATATAATATTTAGAGAGAAAAAAGAATTCTTTTCTCTAAAAGCCTGTATACATACCTTAGAGCAACCAGCCAGTTCAAAAAGTTAATAAGAACTAGGTAGTTCCTGAGATCTGGGAAACTTTTTTCTGCCTTATAAATATTATACACTCATAACTTTATCCTAGATTAAATTTCCACTTTTAATTTATAGAGTTTTAAAAGAATAAGAAAACCTTAAGAGAAAGACCAAAAAAGTGAACTAATTTAATCTGGTTAATATCATGCAGGGCATTTTTGTTTTAAAAGGCTGAAAGACTTTTATTAAGAAGAAAAAAACTTACAAATATTAATATAAATTCTAGAAGGACTAAAAATAATTTCCTATGATTAGTTCACATTATGGATAAGGGGGAAAAAGAAAATATAGATGATAAAGTTTGTATAATACTCTAAAGTAGCCATTGATATGTTAACATACCAAACAAGCAACTGTTTGCTTTCTTTTAGTAACCTTTAGAGCCAATGATGAGTGTTCGAAGTAAGATTGGAAATACAGTCCCAATAAAACAATTCTAGTAACAGGAAATTTCTTTCAATTAAGCTCAGTCGTATTTTCTACAGATAGTCAGCTAAAACAGTGAAGTCTTGTCTTCATAGTAAACTACTAGTTGATACATGTGATCATATTACAATAAAACAAGCACTATGCAATACTCTCTTATTCCTACAACATGGTTTCAATAAATGCTTGGGCATTGGTTAAATACTAAAATTAATTTTTAAAATGTTACAATTATCCAATAACATTTAAAACAGCACTGCTTAAGTAGAAAACATAAAATATTGAATAAAATATATAAAATGACAACTCAACCATCCCTTGAGATAATCCTAATCAATCTTTTAACCAATAATATATATTTTCCCTCAATTTTTTTCCTGTAAAAAATAGCTACCTACATTCTTCTCAATCTTTTTTTTCACTCCCAACTCAGCCCAGATCTGTACTAAAGCAAACAACTTATGAGAATTGTAATTAAAAATGTTTCAAGTTTTAGGTAGCACACTGTAATAGGAAAGAGTTTTTAAATTTTGAGTTCAGAAGTAAAAAGAAAAGTTGTAAGTAGGAAGGAAAAATGCTAGTAAATATAGAAGTTAATCTATACTTTATAAGTTGAATGGAACTTGTGCCAGCAAGGGCAAGCATTTGGGAACACTATATACAAAACTGTACTAAGATACATAATATGAATTATCATAACCAAATCAAAGTTGTTTCCATTGGTAAGATGATAAAAACCATAACACCAACAAGTATGGAGAACTGGTATATTCAACTGTTTTAGATTAAACACTAATACACTACCAGGAAAACTACAGATGTGAAAGACCTTAGAGATCACATAGTCCAGCCCCTTTCATTTTCCAGACAAGAAAACAGCCTTGGATAAGTTAAAAGACTTGTTTAAGGCCACAAGAGTGAGTAACAGAGCTGGGACCAAAAGCTAAATCTCCTAATACTTGTCCAGTCCTTTACACTAGGTCATCTTTGGATATATATAAAAAAAAAAAATTAGTGAGATGAACTACATTAGTGGCTCTTGGAACTGACTACATTTAACACTCAAAAATATTAATGGCTAATTGTTATGGGAATTCCACTAAGTCTACACGTGTATTCTTCCATCAGTATTTGTAATCCCAGTGGTGTAATACTTAACTCTATCAATTGTTTAGCAAAATGGTCCCAATGACTGAGAAGACCCTCAAAAGAGATTTTTGAAAATTGATAAGAATTAACAAGGGAGGTAATTGTCACTCCATTATTGGAGATTTAAACGTACATTCATTCGTTAGTTCATCCAACAAACATCTGAGTGCCCACTATGAGCCAGGTTTTATGATAATCACTAGAGATAAAAAGATGAATAAGACATGGTCCCCTTCCTAGAGGAGCTTGTAATCTAGTGGGGAAGACAGACATATAAACCAGATAAATTATAACATTAAGTACTTGTAACAGAGATATGAACAAAGTGCTGTCTTAAAAGGGAGGGTAAAGGTATGGACTGGCTAATGACCAAGAAGTTTACTAATTTTGTGCAAGAACTACCATATTTACTGCACACACAATCTCATGCTTAATCAACAGAAAGGAGGTAGCAATGTAGCATTAAAAAAAAAAAAGAAAGTTGGCACTGAAACTAGAATGCCTGCATTCAAATCTAGTCCTTCCACTACCAGCTGTGACTTTGGGTAAGTTGCTCCATCTCTATTAGCCTAAATTCCCTAATCTTTAAAATGGGAACTAACAATTATTTCAATGGGATATTTTGTTTTAAAGGAGAACAGATGACAGTACATGTAGGGTACTATAATTTATAAATGCATTAATTTAAATCCAATAGCAATGAAAATCTAAGTAATATTTATAATTAAAATTATATTAATGCTAATAAAAATATAATTGTGAGCCTAATAAGTGCTAATATTTAATCCCCATACTTCTGAGACCAAATCCAAATATATTTGTCTTCTGATTTATTCACAGCAAAATGGCTTAAAACATTTTAATTTAGGTTACTAGAGAATGTAAGTCTAGGGAAAGTAATTAGCTATTTACGAATTTAAATAAACAGTAGGTAATTTCAGTTACTATATAAGGAAATTTTACAGTAATTTTTTAAAAATCAGCCTAAAATTTACTAATCAAATTATAAAGCCAAAAATCAGCACAGAGATTTAACTGGCCTTTGAAAGATTTTCTTTCTTTATAATACCTGTTTGGTGTAAAGAGAAGAAACGTGAGCCTCTGCCAATTTGGCACCTTTCACGACTACTAAAAAGAAAAGAAAACAAACTTACCTAACGAATCAGAATAGCACAGTCAACATATAAGAGACTACATAAAAATATATCATAGATCTAAGTACAATAAAGAAGTTTTTGCGTAGAGTCACTATTTTGGCAAAAGTCGTCTGATTTTGAAATTTTAAATATAAACATGTACACCAACTCCAAGCCAAAACATTTCTACATAATAGTATTATCATCAAAAACATATATAACTTTAACCCTAAGTGTGGGGAAAATCCACTAGTCACTCCACTGGCAGAAGACTATGGTGGTATAATTACAGGTTGTGATTGTGAGGACTCTAGTATGGAAAGAAAGCAATTTTTTTTTTTTTTAAATGTGACTTTTATATAATCTCTATAATCTCAGGAGGGGCAGAAACACTTGTAACTGAAATAAATTTGCAAAGATAAGTATGTGATCTCGCATCCCCTCATTCTACAAAGAATGAACTGATTTCCTGGAAACTCCTCTATCAACTTTAAATGATCGTGTTCACTTGCCAGAGAAATCCACTTAAAAATCACAATATTGTTGCAAATGTCAAAGATTTTTATACAAGTATAGGAAATGCACACTTAAAATATCAGACTGGAACACTTACCAAACAGTGTTTTCCTAAAGTAGTATCTATAGTACATTTCTTTATTCATATATCTTCAAATGGTCAAGTTTTCTTTCATACATCCAAAATGTAATGTGATGGTTTTCTTATTCACCAAATGTTAGCTCTACTTGAAGTCTGGTTCCAAACTAATCAGCCTGCTTTTAAATTTTAAGACATCTGTTGAATATTTATAGGATCAAACCAAACTGAAGTGGTATAAATTTTAAACAGTGGATTGTACATTATTGTCAAGGTACCAGTAACCATTATTAAGAATAAATTAGTGATTATAGCTCCTTTTGTGATAATTGGGGGGGACGGGTAGATCACCATCTGGAATGGTCTATTCGATTTTTTTCTTTTTTTTTTTTCTTTTTTCTTTTTTTAAAATCAAAGAACAATGTCTTGGTTTTTTTTTTTTTTTTTGTCACTGCTTTTCTTTTCTTTTCTTTTCTTTTTAAGAGACCATTCCACTTTATTTTAAACATCCGAATGCATAAGGAGTCATATGCAAAACAGTCATACACCATTATCATTAAAACCCATATGGTAAAATACATACACAAGTCCAACAAAAGGCTAATACATAGTAAGCCTAAGCATACTACTATGTAATATTATGAATACATAACTTGGAGACTTTAGTTAGAGTACTATGTTATCTATTCATTTTTGAAAACATTCATTAAGATTTTAAATGCAAATTCATTCCTTATTTGGAGTAAAACAAAATCCTCTAAGTTATAACAATGGTCATAAGTTTTCAGACCTATTCATTAAATTACAAAGAACCCAAAGAATCTCATAATGTTCAGTAGAAGTATGTAATAAAAACATTGCATATGTTTCTAGTGTGATGTCTTTAGCAACTGTTTACTGAAATAAAATGCAAACATCGATCTTTCAAAATACAGGATCAGAAGGTAGTTTTCTTCTCTTTTGTCTATTTGTGAAATCCATCTTCATCACATTTACCAAAAATTGTTTTTACAAATATGTAAAAGTACATTAGATAATACTAATGAAACACAGGTAGAGTTCTAGCATATGTAGATCAATGATCAGTCAAATCATCTTCTCCAAGAACGAGATTCATTGTCCTCTTCTTCTTCATCATCATCTTGAAGTAATGAGTCATCCACCATAGACTCTTCCTGAAACTTTAGGTTAAAATGCATTTAGGAATTTACCCAAAAAAAAAAAGAAAAGAAAAAAGGTGACACTTTTAAATACTGATTTTGCTCAATAGAGTTGAATACAAAAGGTATTTTTATAGCTAGAACATTCAAGAAACAAAGAAAAGCAACCTTTACCGACTCAATGGTTTCTCTATAGTATCTATTCTATTGCTTGCATCAAGCAGGCACTAAAGTAATATCAAAGTAAGCCTTTGTACATGCAGTTTCTTCTGTCTCTATTTACCAAATGATATTATCTTCTATAGCTACAAAACACTGATCAATTTTTTTTTTTTTTTTTTTTTAAATAACATCAGTAAGTCTTCTCTGACTTACCCCACCGCTGGACACTAAATCAACTAATGACTTGTATAAAAGTCTATCAAGATTTTCTACTGTATACAAACATTTTCTTTTATAGCATTCCTTTCTTTTCTCCATTCCCTTCATAAAAGCTTCTCAGACTGCTTTTCAAACTTTTCAAAATACCTAATACCAGGAGCTCTCCTGCTTTTCTCCCCATTCAATTCAAACTCATGGAAGGACAAAGGTAAAATCTAAAATATAAAATGACAAATCATGTATATGAGTTTCAAAACACACAATTTATTCTTGCATTTGACTATGGATATGTGTAACAGCCTCGAATGTTCTTCAAACAAAATGAAGTGATACTATGATATCTAACAAAGATAAAACATGGAATCATCTCGTTTTCCTACTTAATCTACATTTCTTAAGTTTCTCAACTTTTTTTACAGCTTATTTTATGATTAAACAAAATAGTTGCTTAGTTTTAAGTTTTTGGTTTCAATGGGTTCTCTCGCTTCACTGCTCTTTATGCTCATATGTCTCATTCATTAGACTGTCTTTACTCAAGAAAAAAGTACTCTTCCATACCTATCTCTCTGCCCCAATATGACTCTCACCTATATTCCCAGTCTCAGCTCTTGGTAATGGAAAACTTTATTACTACTTAGGGTTCAGCTCTACTGTTACCACCTCCTTCAAGATTCTTCTGGACATAAATGATCACTCCTTCCTTTGGATTCCGACAGCATATTGTCCAAATCTTTATTCAGCACATCAGTCTGCCTTTCATTATAATTAGTTTCTTATGTGTCTGTCACCACCACCCCCCTTTCCAGATCATAAGCTCCTTGATAGGGACCGTGTCTTATTCATTTTTGTGCCTATCACAGTATCTACCATATAGCAGGCATTCATTCTAATGAACTAAACGATATGAATTAAAATAAAAAAAAAAAACTTGAAATGTTAATAAAGCCTTTGAGTATAATATAAACTCTAAAACTTGAAATACTATGAAATTTCCTGTTAATAAAAATCTAATAATTATTGTCTTCTAAGAGTAAATGAAAACTGAGTATATATATGGTTTTCATATATTCTTTTTGGATTAGCAAGCCATAGTTCTCATTAATCCAGAAAAGTTAAAAGTTGTCTGCATTTATCTGATATCCCCTGCCTGAAATATGGCTCAGGAATAGAAGTTTAATGTTAAAATCACAGCCATAAAAGCACATTTTATAGAGAAACGTGAACATTTAAAGGTATAACCAAGTGGGGAAAAAAAAAAACAAAAAAACATACTTCCTCTTCATCAGGTTCAACTTCTTCTGTTTCAACAGCTGAAATATTAGTTATTGGTTTATTCCATGCCAGTTTTAGATCCTGCCCTTTGAAACGAGCTCCATGAACTGCAGCCTAAAACAATTAAGAACATTGGAATACAGAACATTAATAACTTCTAAAGAAAAAAATGAAATGTTATTGTACCTAATATTTAAATTAAATTAGCTAAACACAAGTGAAGACAGATGTCCATTCACTTGCTTTGTGGTTATTTACTTCTTTATTTACTATTGTTAATTTTTTATGATTATTTCTAAAATCAGCCTAGTGATTAGAAATTCCTTTAAAAAAAAAAACAAGAAAACTTTCTCATAATAACTAATTAAAGCTATTTCAGTGCTGGCCAATACCTGACTAGAAGAATTATGTCTATATGTTTACAATACAATAATTGCTATTCAAGGCAATAAACTCAAAGCAGTTAAAGATCATGACTGTAGATTCCGAATCAAAGACTAAATTAGAATTAACAGGCTAAATGTATTTTATTGCTTTTTAATTCTTGTTAATTTACAAATGGCATACATAGTAACTAGAAACTAGAAACTTTTAACAGAATAATTTCGCATGTGTAAAGTATCACATTATTTTTAAATTACATCATATAATCACAAGTATCACAAAATGTTTGACATACAACTATTACATATTATATCTCAACAAAAGAAAAAATCTTGAACTTTTCTATTTAAAACTAAAGTACTTCCCACAAAGCATTCAGAATTGCATATGATAAAACTTAAACTTAGTAAAGTCTAAGTACTTACTACGTTAAGTGGTTGCTTTGGAAATAGTGCACTAAAATTAAAGTAACACAAACTAACATAAATCGATGTTAGCAACATACTGAAATAATTCATTGTCACAAAATATTTATAGCATAATCTCAAGGTATAGCATAATGTGAAATGTAGAATAAATACATATTCAATGACATCTGACCATGAATTGTATGATATTGAAGTCCCTAGGTAAAAATTTTAAATCTGCACATATAAATTTATAATAAATTTAAAAGATTTCATGCCTATTAATATGCAGCTCAAGAGTTTTTAGTCTACAGCCTCATCACAATGTCACATAACTAAAAAATTTTTAAATGCTTATATGTGAAATTTAAGTTTAGAAACAACTTGTAATTTTTAAGCTATAACTATTACATGGAAAGATATTACTGTAAAGAATTCCAACAGTATAATGCAAAATGTCTACTCATAAACTCAACTTTTCATCAGCCAAAAAAAGGCAAATATTGTTAGTGACATCTATTAAATTTGTGACAAAAATTTCTGATGACAATTTTGTAAATGTCTGTATTTAGCATGATTCTTCAAATTTATTAGGTGAGTTTACAATTCTCTAAAGTTTTAATTTTAAAATTACTTACAGGATAATATTTAACTTTTTAATAAGTTTGATCCATTAGAAACTTTTGGCTATTTGGCTGTGTATATAAAATAACAGTTCTTGCTTTTTGAAGACAGAAATTTATTTCGGATAATCTGCAACATCAAATCTTTAAAGTTTAAAAAAATTCTGGATTTCTGGTCAACGTGGCAGAGCAGATAAATGTTGTGCCTGCCTCCTCCCAAAACTACATGGAATTTATAACTAAATTATAGAACCACCACCCTTGAGAACCACCTGAAGACTAGCCAAACAGAATTCCCATAAATAAGAATATAAAGAAGCCACGTCCAGACTAGTAGGAGGGGTGAAGATGAGAAATGGGTTGGTCTCACAACCATGTGTGGTGGTTAAGAATTGGGAGGGACATCTCAGCTGCAGAGGTTCCCACTGAAGATGGAGCAATCCCAGTTCCACACTGGGCTCCCCAGCCTGGGGCACCAGTGGAAAGCAAGAGGAGTCCTCGCAACAGCTGGCTGTAAAAATCAGCAGGGACTCAGTCTGGGTGGGACACCACTGAAGCATTCGGCTCAGGTGAACAGGGAGACCTCTCCACTGGGCCCCGCAAGGACGCCTACTACATAAGGCCACTCTGCCAAAACTGGGAGATGTGGCAGACCTACCTAATACACAAAAACTAACACAAGGAGGAAGTCAAAATGAGGAAACAAAGAAACATGTCCCAAATAAAAGAACAAGACAAAATGCCAGAAAAAGGACTAAATAAAATGGAGGCAAGCAATCTACCAGATGCAAAGTTCAAAACACTGGTTGTAAGGATACACAATGAACTTAGGGGCAGAACAGATTATCTCAGTGAGAACTTCGACAAGGAGTTAGGAAACATAAAGGAGAGAGAAAACATAAAAGCAATCTTAATTTTGAAAAACTGAATTGAAAGTCAAAATTAAAATTATAAAAAAGAACAGATTTTGGTGATTTATCAAAGAAAAATATAATACAATGAAATTTATACCAGAAGTGAATGATTAGTTCAGTATTAGGAAGCAATATAGAGTAAAAAAAGGGAGAAAAAAATCCTCATCTTTCTATAAACACACAAAAATCATAATAAAATCCACTTCTGATCAAAGATAAAAAATCTCTAGTTTTTAATAAAACAGGAATCATTTGTATGTATTCTACCTTAACCTTAAAACTCAGCATCATATATAATAAAAATACTAAAAATGATTTCATTCATCACTTTCATTCATTTCATGAGCAAGATACTGTTACTACTACTGTTATTTAACATTATTCTAAATGTACTAACAAATAACAGACATAAGTGCAAAAATGTGAAAGTTGGAGGCAAAACAACCAAGATTTAACAATATGATTGAATAAATACAAAAAAAAAAAAAAACCAACTCCAAGAACAAAACTATAAAAAGATAATTTGGTAAAATGGTAATTATATATTTAATTAAAACAGATTAATAGTTTTCTACATATGAACAATCAACAGAATATAATGAAAGAAAAGACTTCATTTAAAATAGCAATAAAGTAAATTATCAGGGCAAAACTAATAAGCAATATATATTATCTATATAAAGAAAAGCTTTAAATCTCTTAAAGGATATAAAAAAATGAAGAACTTGAAATACATGATGTTCTAGAGGAAGATTTAGTGTTATAAAGATGTTAATTCTCCCATAAGTAATTCTATCTTTTTGGAACCAAAATAATATAAGATAGCTTATTCTAAAGTTAATATAAAAAGTAAACATATAAAACTACCAGAAGATTCTGAGAATAATAATTGAGCATAAGAGGAAATACAAACAACAGACCTGACAACTATTAAAATATATTATAAAGTTAGTTTAATTAAAACAGTGAGGAAGAAGCACATGAAAACTGATCACTAGAAGAGAACAGAGTCCAAAACACACCCCCAAAAATTTGAGAAATTTTCATATACTAAGGGTATTTCACATAAGTTTGGAAAACTAGTTTTACTCAATGAAATCAAGTAGGCCCCCTATTTTACTCCTTATACCAAATAACTATCATACGAATTTTTTAAAAGAGTGAAACTAAAATCTAAAAAACAAAAAAGGGAGAAAAAAATAACTATTAAAGGCTAGGGTAAATGTTTATCATCTCAGATTGGTGAAAGCCTTCCAACCTTAGAAAGAAATTAATTGAACAATTCACTATTATTGCATGGCAAAATACAGTACAAATGAAAATTCATAAAAATGTGTGTAACTTATGAGCTAATTTTCTAGTATATAAAAAGCTCCCACAGCTCATTCAGGAAAAAAATCAGTAGAATACACGACTCAGCAAAATAAAAAGCAAACAGCATTAACAATGGAGGAAAATGGAAATAAACAGCATTTAAACAAATGTGAATTCATAAAAGTAAATTAAAACTAAAATGAGTTGCTATTTTACAAAGATAAAACTATTTGATATCTCACTGTGATTTACATACCTATGGATTTTTTAAATAAGAAAACTGATAAAACCACTATGTACAGTATACATTAAGGCAAGAACACAGGAAAAAGGCATTCAAACATCTTTGGCGGGCAAGCAAATGCGGTACAACCTGTATGGAGGGCAATTTCAGAACCATCCATCAAAAATTTAAATGCACATATCCTTTTACCTAGCAGTAACATATCCAGAATATCCTACACAGTAATATTCACATATATACAGAGAAATATGCACCAAGAGTATTCACTGTATAAGGTAAAAGAATAAAAACAATGTAAAGTCCATCAACAACCCATGGTTGATTACATTTGGTACATCCCTATAATGAAATATCTATGCAAAAATGACAGAACAAGGCAGCTCTTGATAGAATTATTGATGTTACTTATAGATTCAAAGTCTCAGTATAAAAATATAACCAAAAAACCCACCTAAAAACATTTGTAATCTCTGGGCAGGAACTTGAGAACTAAGGATAAGGATAAGAAGATGATTTACTTCTTATTTCACAACCTTTGGAGTTCTTATATCATGAATATGTACTGTCTATCCAAAAATAAATTAATTTTAAAAATAAAATTTAAAACTATATTTTAAAGTAGTAAAAAACACTCAAACTGTCAACCAGCAACTTTTAACATGATGAACATTATGAATAAATTAACGTGCTGCCAAAATCAATTATTTTTGTGTAGCTGTCTCATCCCTACTCTACTAAAGCATGTTCTGAAACTGAAAAAGAACTGTTTAAAAAAATTATAATTGCTTGTCTAGGTAAATAGGGATTTTCTTAATACTACACAGAGATAACTACAACCATAACAATAAATCAGAAAAACTAGATAATTGTCATTTAAAATTTCCTTCTCATTAAAAAATTTTTACATTCATTAAAACTGTCTCAATAGCCATACAAATCTTCATTTTGCGATAAGTATATACAGTATGTACCTAATGTAAATACCATAAGGAAAAGAAGAACTCAGAAAATATTAAACTTTTTTGCCAACAATTATACTATTTGTGGTAAAGGGGATATTTTCATTCTTACACTTATATTTAGAGCACATAATTATGTTGGTGTCAGTAAAAATGGTTTAGTTTTCTGCATGGAAAAAAGAGACAGAGAGATATGAAGACCAGAGATTAAGTAAAAAAAAACATATAATCCAGAATTAATTTGCAAGTATTAGTACAAGCTCTTATTTTATTTTTTCAATCTACCTACCTCTCTATGTGTATATACGTGTGTATAAAAACCCTATAGTTCAGAATTAAATGGGAAATATCAGTAGCTTTGAATTTTTTTATTTTCTTTATACATGTGTATACATATGAATATATGTCCGTGTATGTATATGTGTACATGTGTGTATGGGTGTATGTTTTTTTTCACTCCCAGCTCTGACCACCGAAAAGGATTAGTGACTGCAATATACTCAGTAGTACTGAGCACCCCTAGTATTCATATTGTGGTCTCTAAATGCCTTTGCCCAGTGAAAAGAATCAGAGCTCCTTAGAGAAATGGCCAATTCGAGGTCTAAAATGGAAAATATATAAGATGAACCCAGAACACCTGTTCATACCAGAAAGCTAAGTTACTATCATAACCCATTAGGGTCCTGTCAAAAGGACTCAGGAACAAACTAGTATATTAGCCACTAGCCAAAAACAGGACAAAACATCAATAACCGAGAACAATGGATCAATCAATACCCATGAAATGTTTTAATGTATGAGTTCATGACTGTATAATAACAATCAAGTTATCTCAAGATACAAACCTTATTCTGGATCCTTAAAAAAAGTGAGTAAAAAATTTATAGAAAAATTGGGGAAATATAAACTCTGACTGGGTATTTGATAATACTTAGGAAATTTCAATCACTTTTAGGTATAATAATAGTAGTATGTTTAATTTTTTAAGGCCCTAACATTGAGACATACACACTGAGATGTTTACAGATGATATGATGACTGAGAATAGCTCTAAAACAAGGAGAGGGAGGGTTGCAGTGGGTGAGACATAGACAAAACAGGCTGTAAGTGGATAACTGCTGAAGCTCTATGATGAGTATACAGGGGTTCTTTTTATAATTCTAATTTCTATGCTATGCAATGTAAACAAAAACTATTTAAAAGCTGAAGCATTTTATTCATAGGCTTCCTCTATAGCCCTTTGCCTATTCTTACAGATGAATTCAACGTTTACAGCAAAGAGGAAAGCAGGCATACACACCACAGAAGGAAAAATGGCTGAAGATCTGACCAAGTTGGAAGAAAAAAAACGTATGAAAAGTAGTTATGAGGTGGGTTCCATATCATAAGTAGAAAATGGCTCTGGAAACGACATTTGGAAAAAACTAGGTTAAGCAAAATTAAACAAGAATGTTTACCTTCTGCCTTTTCAACTCAGATTGTGAATCTAAATGGAATATACAAAGTGGAGACTTTCACAAACTTATCTGACAAGAGAAGCCTTGAGCTCTTGCAGAACCAGTGTTGGGTAAAAACAGGATGGGGAAAATGCCCTAAGGTCAGAAAATTTAAAGCTGCAATCCTAGTGTGTCTTACAGTTTTAGTAACCATAATGATTAAAACTAATCTATGAAAGAAGGCTAAAACCAAGATTATCAATATTTGTAATAACCACAGTATACAATGTTTAGGCAGGAGTTTCATTAAAGAACCACAAATTAAAAAAAAAAAAAAATTAAAATTAAAATTTCACAATTTCCATCTCTAACTTTTGAGTTCAAGCTGCATGGCCACTTTCTCACAAGCCTCAGGCTTGGATTTACTGATTCCGGTAGCACAGTACTTATCGCGTAAAGCAGTATTTAATAACTATTAAGTGTATCGGTAAAAACACAAAAATTCTATGTACATGATTTGATTTATTTTGATTGAATCCAGTTAAATACTGTTCTTGTTATTAGCTTACTATTTATTCAGTCAGCCCCATCGAGTTCTAGGAGTTAAGTTGCACTATCCTCAATTTTTATTCCTAAGGTTCAGGTCTAAAGAATGAGAGCTTTGAAATCATTGACTCTTTCCTGTCTCTATTCAGTTTCCAATCATTTCTCATTCTGGAAAAAAAACCCACAACAATATTAATAATAGCTAACATTAGGAGGGTTTACTTTGTCCCAGGCATTGTTCTATGTACTTCATAAGTTTTGCATCAGTGAATCCTCATAACTATTGAGAGTTTAGGCATGGGTGTCAAAAATGTACCAGTAGAACAGGATTCTCTTTTGATATAAAAAGCTACATACCTCTTTGAGTTTGGGGCTTCAAATAGGGACTTAACTGTTCCTATTCTAAAACTGGATCTTAGTTATCTTACAAAGGTGTAAACAATTCAAAGTAGGAAAAACAACATTCTAACCAGGCATGGGAAGAGGCTACATTTTTTGTCCTGTTTGGGTACTTATCCAACTTTAGTACAATGAGGTGGTGATAGACAAACAAGAAAATAAAGCAGAGTCAACCGAAACCTAAAAGTGTTGTTTATATAATTATTCCTTAAAATACTTCAATCTCTTTCCTGAGGAAAATTTCTCACTTTTCAGTCATATTTGAATGTCTCAATTACCTTATTCCTGTACTTTCACTTAGAAATACTATGCATCTATTGATTATAGAAAATAGGCATTTATCCAATCATCTGAGAACAATGGTTAAGAAAAATGAAATAATAGAAATAAACATTAGCAAAAGGTTGATAATTTCCTTTTCTTGGCAAGGTCTATCCTTTCTCAACTTTATAAAGCCCTAGACATTGGTGTGAAAATTTCCTTTATTTTACATAATGATGGTGATGGTAAATGCAAGCTTTTTTGTACTTTTTAAGCATTCTTCCTTGACGAAGTTAAAAATTCGCACTCCCGTATCAACCACACTAATTTTTAAATTTCTAAACCTTAATGTTCCCTGAAACCCAGAGGTTTAAAAACCTTTAGCCTATACTACCTAGGTAAGGCAAGCTTCAACTTAATTTTCTATTTTGTTCTAAAATATGTTAAAAATGTTTCCAGAAATTTTTTGGCTTAAGGAAATGCTTATGGTTTAATAATTTCTATAACTTAATTCCAAATATTTAGAATAGCAACAGTAGTATTCCTTTCATCTTGTTTGGTAAATTCAACTAAAATGGTACTTACCCTGAAAAGGTAACTCTCATAAAACTTAAGTGATTTTTGCCACTTATTCAACCTTGATGTAATTCAGTGTTTTTTTTATATATACTTATATAAAAGCGAATGAACAAACATAATTTGAGATGGAAAAAGCAAGACCCTAGAAAAAAGACATGTCAATAGGCCTTAGCAAGAGCAAAACTTACAAAAGTTATTTAAAAGGCAAGAGGTTTTTCTTTTCCTCGCAGCCCATACATAAGCAAGCAGAAAGTTGTGTGTGTGTGTGTGTGTGTGTGTGTGTGTGTGTGTGTGTATTTAAAGTTGTTACTATATCCACAAACTTGGTAATACAGTATTTTAACCATCTGTACAAAACACTATTGTTTTATAATGACTACTTCCTAAAAAACAGATAGAACATAAAGAAATGGTACTCAGATACCTATCTAACCTTACACTGAAAATTATCATTGAAGCCATCATTTAAAGGAAGCTTATTTTTGTATTCAACAATACCTTTGAGAGAAAACTGGATCAGAGATCTATTTTTTCAATATAAAACATTTACATGTAAGTTTATAAAAAAGTTTTAAACTCTAATCAATTATAAATTACTTTTTATTTTCATAAAAGATGTTTAAATAAAAGCTGACTCAAAACTACATTTTAAAAAAAAACCTAGGATAAGAAATTTCTATGAAATTATCCACTACCCACCCCACCTAGAAACTAGGTTATTCCAGGGTTCACTAAATACTTTTCTGAGACTTATCAGACCCACAGTCTTTTATTGGTTACAATGTTCCAAGAGCAACTTGTAAGCCCCCAGCAAAGTACCACTGTGCTGGCAAGTCGTTTTTTAGGTTTTTCAAAACTTTAGACCACATTCAACTTAAAACTTCTGAAAACATTCCAACTCTTCCATTCACATTAACTGTTTGGAACATATAATGCATTTTTTCCAAGGACAAAATGATACAACTATTGCTCTATAATCCTGAACAAAGAACAACACAGGGCCCAAAGGGCTCCTATGAATCCCCCACACATCACAGTCTTTTTTTTTTTTTTTTAATCTTTTAAATCCAGAAGAAAAACAAGGTTGCATATACTTCTGGTCATTCTTTGGAAAGACAATTCAAGATATATAGTTTAAGACAACTATACCAAAAGGACCCTGAAAGCTAGAGCTATGTATCATGTCTTAGGCAAAAGTTGTTGAGGCCTAGTTATAGGGGTATGCTGAGCTACGGACACTTCTTTAGTGTTTGGCCAACTGGCACTAGGAAGCAGCAGAGATGAAGGATGGTTAAGGGTAGCCATCAGGATTATATCTCAGCTGCTACCTTATCCCTCACTACTCAGTCTGCCAAAACAGACCTTGCTCTGGGTCATATGGAAAAAAGGATAATGGGAAGCAGGGTGGCTCTATCTCTAGTGAAAGAGAAAGCAAGGAGAATTCCTAGTGTCTCAAGACAATACAACTTGACATTCGACTTGCTGACTATATATATAATATATATATATATATATTTTTTTAATTAAATTTATTGGGTGACATTGGTTAATAAAATTATATAGGTCTCGACTATACAATTCAATAATACTTCATATATATGTTGTACTATGTGCTCAATACCCAAAGTCAAATCTCCTTTAGTCACCATAAATTTGACCCTCTTTACCCTTATCTACCTCTCCCCTTCCCCCTTTCCCACTGGTAACCACTAAACTGTTGTGTCTATGAGTTTTGGTTTGTTAGTCTTGTTCATTTGTTGTTTTCAATTTTATATTCCACATACTCTAATAATATGTCATATATAGAATTGTGCCTAACTGCTTTAGGTAGGACATTATTTGTGGCCATGAATTCTGCTTCACATGTTCTACCTACTGTCAACTGCAGTTATTTAGTAAGTTAAAAAATTCATTTACATATTAAAATTTAAAAGCAATATTTTTATAACATTTTAATACAGATCTTCAATAAATTAGATCATTTGTAATACTTACTGCTTCAGCTTCTGCTCTTGTCTTGAAAGTAATTACTGCATGAAGTGAAGAGTCATCAATCTGACAATCTTCAATTTCGCCATATTGCTTTAAATTAAAAACAAGTATTTTCTCCAAATAAATATTCTGAAACATTCAAAATCTGATGGTTTTTAAAATATTAAAATATCAATAAATGTAACTCAGAATACATAACAATTCATGGTGATTAACAGAAAAAAAATGGTCAATAATTCATTTTGGTACCTGATAGTCTAAGATAAATGGTGGTCCGACCTTCCAAATACTATTACTATTGTACACTTTCTAGAACTAGGGAAACTTATTATTAATTGACTTATTCTTTAAATAAACAATGGTCAAAGACTGAGCTTTCTTATTATCTTCTATACTCGTTTATTTCTGATTCCAGAATATGCTAAATTCTTTCTAAAACAGAATATTTAATCCTCAGAATATTTTATGAGCTTTCTGTAAAGATAGCGAAGGTGGGGGGAGAGAATAAGAGAACTTAAGCACTTTTCTCAAAGTAATTAAGTTAATTACCGGAATGAGAGTCCAGGTCTTTCGATTCAAAAGTTTAACAATAACTGATCCTGCTTTCACTCTCAGTGAAGACTCCTCTAGATCACATATTCTTTTAGGACATTTGCAAGCTAAACATATTAAATTATGCTTGTTTCGGTTTGTTGGATTTTATTTTTTACCTGTGTAGGAGGATTTTTCTATAAACAGCAACCTTTATCATATAAAATTCTAGTCCTCTGTATGTCATTACTAATACCTTTCTTCTTACCAAACATAAAATTATAAACATGAACTTATTAAATACACACACACTCCATACAGAAAAATTCTGTAGAGCACAGGAAGAGAATCGCCTCTAGAATCAGTCGGATCCTCGCTGTCAGTTACAAGCTGTGTAAACTTAAATAAGTTACTCTCTTCACACTTCATTTTCCTCATCTCTAAAATAGGCATAATAAAGGTACCTACTTCAAAGAGTTATCTAAATAACTCATAACATAGTGAGTTATATAAGGCACTTGGAATAATACCTCCCATAAAATAAGAGCTCTATAAATTTTAAATTATAATTTTTATCCACCGAGACCAGTAGCTGTTTCATTTCTAGACTGGCCAGATCAAGAATATTACCAAATAAAACTCCATCTTAATAAAAAAACAACTCTGAATGGCCCCTGCAGGGTGTTAAATTTTTCCTTAAAAGTAAATATCAAATGAAAGTATAGGACTTCCTTCTCTAAAACAACAGTTTAAATCATTCATTTCACAATACCTGAAGGCTTACTAAGTGTAAGAATTGTAATGTTTCTTCCAAATAATAAACAAAAACTCCCTACAGCTTGCTTTTTAAATAACAAAAGATCATCATAGAAATTCTTTGGTCAGATTAATGGATTTAAATTTGTCATGTCATTTTCATAATTTCCCCTTTAATATATCCATTATCCCCAACAATGGTTATCAGTATTTGTTTACTGGGCAGTGAAAAAGTACCGCAAAATGAGGAAGAAGATCTTCTCTATCACTCTCCGTAAATGCAGAAATCTCCAATGCCCTGGGACGGTGATCCACAACAGCATGACCAGGTACACCTCGACCTCGACCTCGACCCCTGCCTCGGCCATGAGCTGCACCTCGACCTCTTGAATGAATTCCTCTACCCCGACCAGATGAAAGAATCCCTCGTTTTGCTGCCTAGAAGGAATTAAACACGTAAGTTAAACATCACAAACAGCCAAGTGTTATACACTTTATCAGATGAGTCAAACTTTTATATACTCTGACATCATATTCAAATAATGCCCTATAAGAGTCTCATAATTTAGGGTGGAGTTTTATATTTTAAAGTAAAAGCAAATGTAGGCAGTTAATGAATTTAAAAAAACAAAACATTAATTTAAGCACTGTTTCAAAATTATTGTGTGCTTTTTTCTAAATTCTTACTCTCCAACACATCAGACTCTATCAAAAAAATAAAATCAGCGATTCTTGATTTCCAAATGGCGTTGTTCCTCCAGAAGTCACTTTCATACAGAGATATGTACACAATAAATGTATTTTCCTATTTATAATTTTCAAACTGTTTCCCTACTGTAGTACAGTAACTACTGTACTTCAGTAGTTACAGTTATCTCAAATTCATTGTTCTGATCACTTACAGTTAACATCATTATACAACTAATGTCCATAGTAACTTATATTCCACCACATCACTCTGTATGAATAGCATACCATTCCTTCATTTATGAATACTTCCTATGTGCAAGTCCTTACTCTCATGAAACTCAAATCCTAGAGGGGTAAAGAAACATTAAACAACTAAGTTATCTGATTTTATCCATGAGAGGTGACTCAAAAAATGGGGAAATGCTTTAACTAAAGATTTGAACAGAACATTAAAGATGTGAACAAAGTACTAAGATTTGCAATAAATAAAATACTATAATGTTAGTTCCGTGAGGATTTTCCCCCACCCCGTTTTATTCTCTACTCAATCCCCAGCACATATAATAGTAGGTGGCAGATTATAGATACTTAATATGTGTTCAATGAATCAAAGAAGGAACAAAGAACAAGCAACACAAAGGTAAAGGGAGTGCTTGCAGCAGGAACAAGGAAACCAAAAGCTGAAAGGAACATGGTACTTCAAAGAATGAATAAAATCCAGTGTAGCTGGACCACATGAGATGAAGAGATGAGGCTGGAGAGATAGGCAGAGCCAGATCATGAATAACTTTAAGGACCACGTTAAGGATTTTAAATTTTATTCCAAGAACCATGAAAATCAATTAAAACATTTAAGGCGGAGAAGTAATGTAATTGAATCAGGATTTAAAATGTTATTCTGGTGAGAGTTTTAAGAACAGAGTAGAAGGAAGAAGAAAACAATACCAATCAGTAGACTACTACAGTAACCCCAGCAACTGAAAACAGAAGCTTGGTCTACAGCGGTGGCAATGGACATAGAGAAAGTAATGCATTCAAGATATATTTGGGAGTAACATGTATAAAACTTGGTAATTAATTGGATATGAATACTGAAGAAAAGGAAGGAATTGATGAAGGCTCTCGGATTTTGGTTTGGGTAATTGTGTAGATGGAGTTAAGGGGCAAAATAAGCACAATTTTGAACACACTGAGTCTGAGGATGTGAAACATCCAAGTGGAAATATCAAGGAAGCACCACTGCCAAATCTCTGCAAGTATAAAATCTCAAGATATTTAACATAAACTAAAATAATCTAAAATCCAAATAATAAAGTTCAAAGGGCAAGGATTAATAACAGAGCAGCATATACAAAAGTCTACTCTGAGGAACAAAATGCTCCCTGAAAAGGGAGTCCATGGTCAAATAAGTTTGAGTAGTATTAAATATTTAATATGTAATTCTGGAGATTCACAAATTAAAGATCTCTAAAAAAATCATGTTTAATAGTCAAAACTCATGTTTAATATAATCTTTTCCAAATTTATTTGGCTTCACAGCTTTTTTCACTAATATCTGTTATCAAAAAAATGGAATGTGTGTGGTGAATGACCACACTCTAGGCAACACTGCATTTCTGTATACATTAACTGCAAACTAAAGTTTAGCCATTATTAAAAAAAAAAAAAGACATGTTATTCAGAGTTTAGCTATATTATGATAAAGAACCAAAACATAGACTAGAAAACAATACTGGTAATACTATTATTTGTTTACTAAAATTATAGGCCAAAAATTTTTTAATGATAATTGTTTTTAAAATATCACCAACACGGGCATAAAATCTCCAGAATGGGGAAAACAGAATTTCTATATTAACATAAACATATCTTTTTTCAAAACCTGTTACTTGGGCAGAACACAAATGAACTGTACCAAGCTTCCAGAGAATGCTTCCTGTGACTGTTAGATAAGAAAGAGTCCTAAGACAAGCATAGTGGCTATTAAATGTTAAGTGGTCAAGATGTTAAGATGATCAAGTAGTTAACAAATCTGGAAAAAAGTGGCTATTAAATGTTAAGTGGTCAAGATGTTAAGATGATCAAGTAGTTAACAAATTTGGAAAAAAGTATTATTCTAAGGTTAAGCAAAAGTAATAATCTAAAATATAAAAAATTGTGACATCAAACAATGACAAGTACCAACTACATTAATGACAATGTTTCTCTGTACTTAAAAATGTTATTCTGATTTTTAAACATCTTTTTGTTAAATGTTAAAAATTCTCATGTATAAGAATCAATTTCACTTGATTTTTCTTATATAAATAACCATGACAAAATTATAAGGTAGTTTATTTTTTCTTTCATAAACATCCACAGCACCATCTATAGGCAAAAGTTAAGGAAACATGTTCTTCAATACAGTTCTATCACTAGAAGTCTGGTTCTTATAGAACTCAATACAATATGCTTATTTATGCACAGGCTAGCTCCATAAGAATACCTGAAAAGCTTATAATAGGTTTTGGTCAAGGAGGAAGGACAAACCAAAAATAGAAAAGGAATAAAATTCACTAGAAGTGGAAGGACTCAGGTGTATAGGTAGAACTGCTGCCACCCCTCATTAAATAAGATTTTCTCTACTAGCTTTGAGAGATTTGTTAACCTCCTTATATCGACTCCCAATATGTATGCCAGAGAATAAAGGGAATATTTTCAAATTAACCACCACGACTACATCTGCTCTTCTTTAGCACACTGCATAGTTGTGATGAAACATACTTCCAGCTGTAATTCTGTATACTTTCTCCTAAGCTCAGTGACTTCTTCTCCAGCTTGCATCTTCTTATATAAATCCAGCTCTGTGTCAAGTAATTCTTTCTGCATCTAGAAAATAGAAATTACTTTAGATGATAATAATTAATACTTTGTATTTATACAAAATTTTTTACAAAGAAGTTTTATACATTCCCATTTAATCTGTACATTTCTTCTCTATCTCCAGTCCTACCTACCAATCTAGTTCAAGCTATCACTCACCTCTGGTCTATACTACTGCAATGACTTCCTAACTTGTTCCTATATCCACTGATTTCTCTATGCCAGAGTGAGATTTCTATGGACTGAAATACACCTAACTTTATCAAATAATATAACCACACAAAAGGGGGAAAAAAAAAAGTAATCCTAGACCACAGTTCTCACTCTATACCCTTAGTGGGATACATTGTAAAGTTATAAAGAATGCAAATAAATTCTAACTTTTATTTTTAGCTAGTTGTTGGAAGTGGTATTGCTATAACAATTCTGGGACTATTTGGAATGTATTACAGGACTGAGCAAATGAGTACTGTATTGACTGACCTTAGTGGGAACCAAGTTGTCGTTATGGGAAAAGGGAGATAAAATATGGAATAAGACAAGAAAAGGAAGAACCCTGTGGTGATTAGATCAGAAATACAATATGAACTCATGATTTTATATATATACACACACCAAGTATAATTATTGTATACTGTTTTTTTCTCTTAATCGCTTATTACCATCTGAAATTAACTTGCTCACTTATTTGTGTCTAATGGATTAATCTACCTGAATTTTCTCCCCTTCTAATAAATTCGTTTTGTATTGTCAGGTTATATCTCTGTTCATTAACACTTTATACCACCAACTCCTTAATAAAGTTAAAATAAATCTCAAACTCCTCAGTCAAGCATTCAAGTACCTACATTATTATCTTCAAAGTACCTTATCATGATTGTCCATAACAAATTCTCCTAATTACTGACTTTCCAACTGTAATTCACAGGATTTGAAAGATTAGTAGTTTGCAAGTATTTATTTACTTATTAATGAAGGAAGAAGAGAATGATAGCATACAATGGTCAGATTTTTAGAAAATGCTATAACCTAAAAGGAAAATGAATCTTAAACAATGCAGTGTTTTAATGTTTTTCAAAGTAATATGAATAATAACACAAATTAAAATACCTGAGTCTTGGTTTTTATACTTTTTGGAAGACAGCGTCCAGGAGAAGCAGCTTTGACCTCATCTTTCAACTTGGTAATATTTTTTGTCAAAACCTCTAAAGTTTTCATTATTTCTGCTTTATCTTCAGACTTCATTGCTTTGTTTTTCTCCAGTTTTGAAATTAACATCTGCCAGATTTTTAAAAAGAGAAAAATGTGAGATACTTATTCCTACTATTACTAATAAAAACACAGCAAACAAAATATAAAAATAAATACTACTTTTAGTTTATGTATTTATAACAAGGCTTATAACCACTAAGACTGTGGAATAGCAGATTGGTGATGCTAACTGTCTCAATTCGAGCCTTAATCTTGGTTTATTTTGTAAAGAACTACCGTATTACTATTTGGGTCTCTTAGAACATAAGAAATTCAATTCAATCCCTGAAAAGTTTTCAGTTTGAAAAAATATTAATAATTTTATTTTCTAATCCATTTGTGGATATTACTGCCTCTAAGTAACTCCACTCCAAATGGAGTCTGTAACCTAGAATGAATCAGAGGAAAAGTTCTGTTCTTCCTTCATATAATGAGGTATTAGGAAAATGAAACATTTAATTACTTTCTTTGTCACTGGGAACAGTAACTGGCTAGCCTAAGAATAATATCCCCAACATTGATAGGAAACAAGAAGATAAACAAGGTAATATGGGCTAGAAGATACCACCCAATATTATAGGTTCTCTTAAGTCAAGATGGTTTCAGTTTTTGGAATAAAGCATTGTAATTTCTCTTTATCAAACATTTTTAAACATAATAAATCCAAATTTAAACTATAAAAGACATACATTTTAAACCAAAATGGAAAAGTTCCTGTCTTTTCAATATTTTGAAACGTCATAACCTTTACTCAGATATGATCAAGAACCTAATTCAATGTCATAAACTGCAGCAACACTGTACAAAAGAAATATTACAAGCCATATAAGTTTTAATTTTCTAATAATCACTTTAAAAAACTAAGAAAGTAAAGTTAATTTAATAATGTATATTCTTTTTAGCTCAAAATATTAAAAATGCTACATTTCAATAGAAATTATTGAGATGTTTTACTTTTTTCCCTCATTCTGTCTTTAAAATCTGGTATGTTACACTTATAGCACATCTCAACTTGGACTAGACACATTTTAAATACTCAAAAGTCAGATGTGGCTGTTATTAGACAACAAGAACTAGAGGATTCCAAGCATGTTAAAGAAGAGTACCTATTTCAACACTGAGCAAAGGTTCCATATCACTATCTGTTGAACTGCTAGGTACCACCATACTTAGATACAGACTCCTCACTTTCATTTCAAGTTTGATAACCATAGTTCCATTTAAACTACTTCAATTCCTAACATTTAATATATGCTCTTCATATCCCCAATACGCTCTCAATTGATATAAACTTTACCATCGAGAATATTTCAGTTTTACCATCATCGATTACAGTAAATGTTTCCTAAGACTACCTATATAGTGTAAGATTAAATTCCAAGTTGTAACATTTATAAATACATTTTGTCAAATCTAGCTTTAGTATTTTACCTTCTGTGTTTCAATGTGCTTTTCTAAAATTTCTTGTTTCCTTTTTCTTACTCCTAGAAAAAGATAAAAAATATTATTAGAATATTTACTATTTATATTTCCAATAAACAAAATTATAAAAGAAGACAGAAATGGTTGTTAACTGCAGAAGCTTGGCAACAAAAATTAAATGCCAGGTTTTCCTATGTAAAACTTAAATATGTATGCAAATTTCAAAGATCAGGAGAACCTTTTATTCCTAGAAAAAAATATTTACTGCTACATTATGGAAAATAAAAGTTCAGTGGCAGCCAACATACTCCTTTCAGTATCATTCTATTCTAAGCACTGAAAAAACACATACATGCAAAAAGCTTTCCTCTATGAAAATTCTGTATAATAACAGCTGTACTTACCTGTTTTTTTTTCTGTGCTTCATTATTATCAACTGCAGAGGTGGAAACAAGTAAAGTTTTTTGTGCAGCCTTCAAAGCAGCTGGATTATACACTGTTTTTGTTAGGCCAGTAGATGTAGATAACACCTACCAATACAAATTCAATTTCATAAAAATGTATCAAGCATTCATGATTTTCTAAGTCCTGTTTTTTTATAAAACTCAACGTTAAAGCGCTTTCGTTAAAACTTAGCACATTGAACTTAATGTTATATGAATAATAACTAAATCACATTTAGTGCTTTTTAAAGAAAGATATGAATGAGGAATAAACGATAATTTTTTAAATTAATACCATATACCTATAGAAAAAATGCAATCCAACATACAAAAACTTTAAATCAAGAAAAAACAGTCATTACTATATCATTGAGAAAATATTAGTTGCTGAATATATGTGTTAGTATTCCTAGTGACTAAAGCAAAACCCGTTCATAAGACATGGCACAAAAAGAAACTGGATCCTGTTCCTCAATCTGAAACTGTTTGTCCCTCACGATCATTTGCAATTTACAGTTCAGAAATAAACTTGCTTTCTTTCTCCTTTTCTTTGTTAGCCATTGCTCCTTCTGCTTCAAAGGACCTTATTCCCTGAAGTCCAGCTGAAGGTCGACAAAACCAGTTAAGACCTCTACAAAGCCCTAATCATTTATTTCTTCTACTTGGGTCCTTCTATGAAATTCTATTTCTACAGCTATTAAAATATTTAATAAAAATGATCTGATATGTTAATTTGTCTCTTTCCCCGTCTACTTGAAATAAAAACCATGTCTCTTTCACCTCTTTGCACTTCTGGGACCTAAATCTTGTTAGTAACTGGGTAATTTCAAGTAACTTTTTGGGCCTCAGTTTATCTATAAAATGAGAAAGTTCAACTTGATTATGTCTAATGTCCTTAACAAACCCAGGAAGACTAATTTTTTTCCTTGGTTCGCTGCTATATCTTCAGTGCCAGGGCACTTTATACATATTCAATAAACACTATGCACTAAATTAAACTGAAATGATGACAGATCTGAGTGGACAATCTTTTCCACACAAGAGTCAAAAAAATAAAAGTGTACAGGTTGCCATTTTTTATTCTTCAAAAGAAAGTACCTATAGGTTCCATGGAGTGGTAGGTTACTGGTTCTTAGATGGAGTCTAGGGATACCTTCAGGGAGAGCTCTGAACGCTATAAAAACTAAATATGAAACCATATATGTCAACAATGTAACTTTCCAGAGGAAGAAACGTAGCTTCTAGTTTTAATGGAACTGAGGACATAAAAAGATGTTTTAAAACTACATAAATAGAAGGGTATCGATTAGAAAAGAGCCCTACTTTCTAGCTACCAAAAAATATAAATATCTGGGTGTACCAGAGAAGGTACAACCTGGACACTACTTTTTAATCGTTTATCATTAGATTAGAGAACATCACAAAGTTCAGACAACTCATCACTCAATATCCTTAGTATTCAAGAATGGCTAGCCTCTAAATAAAATAAAACCCTAGAATACTGTATTTCTACTGGTTCCATATAGCACAACTGATGTTTAAAAATAAAAGTTCTTTTACGATACTTGACATGTATCAAAATTTCACTGATAATTTTCTGCAATAGTCAGAAAACGAATAGTCAGATATCAACCACTAACACGCAGGAAATAGTGTATTCAGTAAAATAGAGTAAAATTAAACATAGATTTAATTTATAGTCTTAACTTCAGACACCATTTTCTATAATTCTAGAGAAAAAAATTTCTTCCATGCTACCTTAACACACCACACAATGCCAAATTGTATGATTATATAAGGATAAGACAATAGCTTTAAATGGAGAAATACAGGATAATCTGCTGAAAACAGAATTTAATGGGGGTGTTTCATAAACTTTTTTCATGAGGGTTCCATAACACGTTGAAAAGTTGTGACCAGACTTCTGTACTCAGATCAGTTGGAAACAATAAATATCACAACCCTATTTTCTAGTTTAAAAATTTTATCATAAAATATTTTATCATAAAAGTTTTTGATAGTATTTTATCATAGTATTTTATGATAGTATTGTATCATATTATTTTATCATAAAAGCTGTGAGAAAGCCAGAAGTAAAGAAATCCATATAATTTATTTGAGCATTTCTCTCCAATTTCGGCAAGTAGGAAACACTCTGTGTCCCAAAGATATTGACATCATGTATCAGACGAAGGAGTGCTTTTTCAAAGTGAATAAAAGTTATCTCACAAGAAAGAGAAGACTCTTTTATTCCTAGAAATATCACATTTCCTTGTTTTATCCCGGAACTTCCTCCAGTAAAAATAGAACATCAGCCAACATATTTCATTGAGCTTAAAATATCACTATGAAACATTATCAGATTATATACTCCAACTATAAAAAAAGGGCTGCCAATTATAACTATAAACACCAATGACTACACAATGTAGCCTAATTTCAGAGGTAGAAAGTGTGAAAACAGGATGTCTTAACACAATGAATGAACTATATGATTACAAATATTACTATATGAATCTATTTGATTCCAGAGTTTAGACAGTAAGTTTGGACAGCAAAAAATATATTTTCAAAAGATGAGGATATATTATTCATGATAAAAGAGAAGAAAATCTGCTAAAAATGTAACTAGCAAAGGGAAGTGACGAACCCAGTAGGAAAGATACTACAATTCCTAAGTACACAGACAAAGCACAGGCAGTGGACTTTACAAACTACCACACCTTCTTTACTTCCCAAACAGCTTTCTCTATGTGCTGTATTTTTACATGTTGACTTTATTTCCAATGACGTTATTTCATTCATTCATTAATTCCAATTGTTTGTGAATTCTTTTGGATTTTCTGCATACACAATCATGTTGTCTGAGTAAATATAGTTTTGTTTCTTCCTTTTCAATCTTTATGTCATTTATTTCATTTTCTTGTCTTAATTTACTACACTACTGAAAAAAAGTGATGAGTGGAGATTCTCATTCCTGATCTCAGGTGAAAAGAAGTCAACATTCCACTATTAAATATGTTAGCTACAGGGTTTTTTATTTTGCATATACTTTGTCAAATTAAGCAAGTTTCTTTCTAGTCTCGTTTTCAGGAAGTTTAATGTGATGACGTTATATTATGTTTTTCTACTGTGACAATCATATGAGGTTCTTCCTTTTCATCCCCTGCCCTTACTTTATTCTGTTAATGTGAAACTGATTTCCAAATGTTAAATCAACCTTGAATTTCTAGAGTAAATCTTACCTGGTCGGGATGTATTATCTTTTTCATATCACTGCACTTTTGCTAATATTTTGTTTAGGATTTCTGTGCCTATGAGATATTGGCTATCATTTTCCTATCATGTAATATACTTATCAGGTATATTCTTTGATACCTTTGGCATCAAAGGTATGATGAATTCTTAATGTGAGGTAAAAATTATCATATGCTCTGCTGTTAAAATGTACATCGTTAATACTTCTTACTTTCCAAGACAAAAAGCCAATTTCTTAACAAGATAGAAGTTATAATCCATTACCATATCTTTATCTTATTTCCTATATATAATATTGCCAACCATAATTATTATTTGTACTTATAAAGACAGAAAAGCAGATTTTTCTCACGGATAAGAATGGAAGGAAACAAAGTATTTTGTAATTACTTGCTAGGAAAGAAGGTTATTTCAATTAAAATCAGCCAAATATCATTTTTAAGTAACCAATGCCCAAATTGGAATCAAATACAAAAGAAACAGTTAAGATGCTTCACAGTCACATTCACAGTCAGCTCTAACAGGTCTTGCTTAAATGCAATAAGAAAGTTTCTGAGGAGTTATTAATATAATTACTGCATGGTCAATTTTTATATTAAGTAAATAATCACCTTTTCAATAAATCTGAATGTTCATTTATGATAGTCTTTTAGGCACCACACAAATATATTTTCTATAGCAAAACTTAACAAATTGAGAATTCTAGGGAGAACAACATGACTAAAGTTAAATTTCTAAAATATTTTCAGGGACTAACAGTTTTATTTCCTTCGCTAATACTCAGTAGTTTAAGAGAGACAAAGGGATTCAAGATCTTGCAAAGAAATATTTTAATGTCAAAGAAAAAAAGGTGTAGAGTCAGTAATCAATTTTCGCCACAATAGCTTGTTCCCAGAAGATATAGCATAGCAAATAATTTTATATAAATCATATTTCTCTCTAAGAAAAATAATCCTCATAATAATCTTGACTGAGTAATCCAGGTAATAATCCTGATAGAGCACTGTACTTAAAAAATCAAAGTTAGTCGATAACAATTATAAAAAATTATCATAAATTTCCCTACTCTTTATATTTAAAGTAGCAAAATTACACAACAAATACAAACTTAAAAATCAAAGGGTTATTTAAATGACTGCATTTTATAGTTAAGGCAAATGAGAGGGTAAAACTTGTTCAGGATCATAGAGTGTCAGCTGCTAAATCAACAGTGTAAGTATATGACGTGCAATGTTCCTTCAATTATACCACACAATTTTCCTTTTAAAAGTTCCATGGTATAGATGTTAACATATCATCATGCAAAGAACCAAGATATATTTTTGGATTGCAAAAAAATACTGCTAAGGAACAATAACATCCTGTATCATATGCTTGATATACCTAAAACTGATATAAAAACATTAAGTATTCAAGTGATCGATCAGTTTGCTTCCCACAATTTAGAAGGGATTTAAGGAGATAATCTGGGCAGTCTACATCTCTTCCACAAAAACTAACCAGGATGGAATATGCAGATGTCACCTTTATTCTTCACAGATCTCCCTACAGTAAGCAGAGGCACTCAAATTGATCATTTGACCAATCAATCACTCTACTCAATACCAATTTAATAGCTATTGCAATATCTTAATACTTAGCAGTATCAATTAAGTTGTAAGTTTCTTCTCTCTTAGCCCTCTCATAGAAATGTAATCTTAGCATAATCATGAAAGGGTTTACTCGGTGTTATTTATAGAAAGGGAATAAAATTCTGTATTTGTGTATTTATTTGCTTTAACAATGATAGAAGATACTATGTAGATGCTAGCTTTGAAATCGCTCCTGCTTTCAATTAAAAAATTTTTTTTGAATATTTGATGATAGAGAACATTCTTTATTCTTCCTGAGACTTCTCTGAATCACTGACCTCTAAGGAGTCCACAGCAAAAATCACTATGGACTAGGGGAAGAGATAACACCAAGAATAAGCAAAAATAAAATGCTATTCTTTAAGCAGGTTCACTGAAGATGACTAAAGTTACATACTTGTAACTATTTTCCTTAAAAGATACTTTACAGTATTTACCAAGGTTTTTTTTTTTTATAAATAACCTATTGCCATTAGTGATTTTTCACAGATTCAGTTCATGATAACCATATTAGTATACTTATACTATCAATTCCAAGTTTGTATCTCTTTTATCCTAAAGCTACAGAAAACATGCTAAAAAAATAATGAAAACGGTAGCAAAACATACTAGAAAAATTTTATAAAAGCTATAGTTAGTACACTTCAATTTCAGAGTCCAAATCTTGACATAAATAGATCTATAAACATAATCAGGTTTTTAGACCTCTGCAGAATTGTTCAATACTTCACTAAGTGTAACAGACCTCATATTGTTTTTATTCCTTACTTATTATCAAGGATAAACCTAATCAGAGTCAATACTTAAATATGCTAAACTTAGTAACATAGACTAAGCAACACAAATTTAGAGAAAGAGTATCATGGAAAAATTTGAAGGTTTCATAGAAGAGGTTAGAGAGATTTTCAATCTTTAAAATAATGACTAGAATTCAGTTAGGAAGAGGAAAATGCAATCCTGGAAAGTCACCACCAAAAAAATAAAAAAAATAAAAAAAAATAAAGAGGCAGGAAATAGCAAAGGACAATGAGCAGAAAAAAAGACTTCTTAGGGAAGAAAGGAAGGACAAAAGCAGAAGTAACAGAACGAAAAAAATTAAGATAATGTTGAGCTATGAACCAAGCTAAGTCATTTAGTTGAGGAAATGAAAGTTTCTATAAGAAACTGACATTAAAATAAGTTTGAGAGTAGTGTAGTGGCAGTGTAAACTAAGGGAGAGAGATGCCAGCTATGACACTACATCCAGAGGCCAGGGCCTGAAGGTGGTAGACAAAGAGATGTGGACTGCAAACACAAGAAAATGACTCGAAAGGTTTTTAGACTGCACTTCCAGAGGTGAGAGCTAGGAGAAATTAATTTATGTGGGAAATAATAAATAATCTTAGGCATGTTATGCCTGAAGTAATGTTGAAGTGCCCGAGGGAAAAATCTGATATACAGAATGGAGTTCATATTCAAATTTCTAGAATTGCCAAAGTTTAACACAGTGAATAAAAAAATAATAATATACTGAAAAACCAGTGAAGAGGGCAGTCAGCTATCTCATGGGATATTTAGTTGCTACCTATAAAGTCAATTTCCTATGAATATTTTATAGTACAAAGAGCCATGGACTAAAAGAAGGTATAGATTCCAGTCCTAGCTCAGTAACTCATAGTGTATAGATGAACCAAAAAATGATTTGGGCCTTACCTTCCTTTAAAGTGAGGGTATAGAAATGGGAAACATTATCTAATTCTAAAATTCTGTGATTCCACGTACCTCAAATAAGACTAAAGATTAGGGCATTCACTCATACCTAAACAGAAGAAAAAAACATCTACGCCGAACTATAAGGCAGGTCCATAAATAGTCTAAAATCAGCATTTGCCCTCGTATTTAAAAAAAGAAATGACTAAATGTTTTGTCAGGCTATACGAATAGCTGTTAGCAATGAATAAGAAACTTACATTTACATCATCTTTTCCAGTTTACGAAATACTTTTAAATAAATAATTTTGTTCAATCCTCACAAAACTGTGAGCAAGACCAATATTACCATCACTATTTTACCGATGAGGAAAAAGGTTCAGAAAGACTAACAGTACTGCCAAATGTCATGCAGTTAGTAAGTGAAGAGCCAGAGTTCGAACTCAGGTAAAATTCCTAATTCATGGCCCTTTCTACTAGGCTGCCAAAGTTTTCAAATTAAATTGTACAGTATCTATAAATATAATAAATAAAAAGAAAAACAAAAAGAATGAAGCGCATGGAAAATATAGTGAGCAGCAAATATTAAAATGCTGATGCAAAAAAGTAAATAAAGGTAGGCAAATATTTTTCTTTTTCAGCAAATGGAAAGCAAAAAGGTAGGAGATAAGAGATACAGATACTATTAAGAAGCAAAAGTTTGGAACTATGAAAAAATTAAAAAATTGAGATGCCACCTGAAAACATTTATGAAGCCAAGACAAACACATCATGCTATTCTTACCTTTTCAGTTGCTGAAACAGATGGCTTTGATACAAAACCCAACCTGTCCTTCACAGATAACTTAGTTACATTCTAAAAAAATTAAAATGGACATATTCAGTGTTTCCCCAAACATATATAAGTCTGTTGGGATTTTGAACATTCTGATTCTACTAACATATATTGACTATATAAGTATACTGATGTTAATCACAAAAACCTGAGCCTTTTACAAAGACAGAGACAGAAAAACTGTTTGTGGAAAAACAAATAGTATGCACCATTACTCAACCATGAAAAACTATGATGTAAAGTAAGAGGTTTGAATCAGGTGGTTGCTAAAGTCCCCTCCACTGATACAGACTTATAAATGCCTAAGAGTCCCATGTTGACAAATGGAAAGTTTGAACATTTTAAATATTAGATTTGAGTAAAATATGTGCCTGCTTCCTGAGCTTAAAAATAAAGTCATTCTTTCCTAAAGTATAGGAAAATACACTGTATAGCCAAATACATTGCACTTAGTGATTATTTGGAATAATAGGATTGGAGATTTTTAAAAAATAATTTACCAATTTATATTCTGCATGTTTTTATAGAATCTTGATATATTACTTTTCAGGAATTATCTAGGAAGACTATTTTAATAAGGTGGCATCTATTAGTTAAGGGGAATGGTATATCCGAACTCTATTTTACACAGCAAATGCTGAAGTATCTGGAGACAAAGGAAAGCTAACTTTCAGAGACTGAGGGTGTAGAAATAAGAAACTGCCACTCAAGTATGGAAGGGAGTGGGAAGGGAATGACATATGGAAAAGAAAATCCAAGAGTCAGGAATAAAGTGATGCAAGGTTCTGAGAAAGCTGCATAAGTAACTTGAAACAGTATGCTAAAATCTGAGATTTAAGCCTTTCCATCCCAAAAGCTTTCAGTTCATGCTACTGCATAATTATCTCTGAAGAGAATTCTAGTTAAGTGAAAGATGATGGGAAAAATAAGATTTAGTGTACTGAACTTCACTTTTCAGGCAGTTTTGCTGGAAAATACCTCCTCCACAAAGTGAAAGAGAACTCTTTCTTATAAATAAGTATTAACTAGAAAGAAGAATTTAAGATTCAAATACTATAGAAAAAGTAGAAAGTGAAAATGTTATAATAGCAACAAAAAATTTACAAGTGAAGTTCAAATATGTACAGACTATCCTATTTCTGTATAAAATACATACAACTAACTATAATTCAAATCACCAAGGGAAATTACTTTACTAAGAACCTATTATGTGACAAGTACAATAATAAGACTTTTCACTTACCTGAGGAAGGTCTGAACTGGCACTCTGAGCTTCTGCTGGTTCGACAGTACTTGAAGGTACTGGACCCATACATGAGTATGTATTTTGTCTTGGATGTTTGTCAAAGGCGTGTTCCTTGACCCAAAAAAAAAAAAAAAAAAAAAAAAAAAAGTTAAACAAGCTCATTAGTTCATGAGCATGGAAAGTCACCTGTTATTTGCTACTAAATTGCCCCTACAGAGGAAGTCTTAAAAGTACATCTTATAATCAAAACTTAGCCACCTTCCAGATTCCTTCTCTCTCTCTCCCTCCCTCTCGCTCATACACACATGTGCACACACAGTTTTCCTTGCATATAATAACTTATTTATAAAGTAGAGAAAAAATTTAAATCTACCCCTCATTATTTTTTTTAAACAAACAGGAGAAAGTTAAATCGAGAAACAAACCGTTGTAAGACACCTCTACTAGCAATTAATCTAACATTACACAGTGATTCACTGATCGAAACAGAAAGAGGGAGGGAGAGAAGGAAGGATTTCCAAGATGAACCCACAATCTGAGTTTCTGGATGATGTACAGCTACAGTGTACTGAGTGTCTCCTATCTACGACTTCTCTATATGCTTTCCACATATCATCCTATAATTGTCTAAACTAGGGATCAACTTCACGATAAAATGAAAGAAGTTAGAAAGGTAAAGTAACTTCCTCAAGTCTACACATTTAACAGTGGTTGAGTCAGGATCTGAACTCAAGTCTACCTGACGGCAATGCCTCTGCTCTTAAACACTATGCTAAGAGCTTTCTAAGAAAAGCATTTAATTTTACACAAATTTCTCTCTTACCTTAGGAGCAGTTTGTAACTGCTGGGTACTTCCTTCTCTGTGCCAATAAACCTTAATAAAACGATTGTTTAGCACTGCTTCTGTACTTGATATTGCTTTCTTTGCTTCTTCATATGTTGCAAATTGGATAAGGGCACCTTCAGGATCACCATTATAGGCAACCTAAGATTTAAAATAAGAAGAGTAAATTTCCAAATGAATCTGTTGCTCCATCCAGTAAAATTCCTCAACAGATGAAATACTGGTCCCTCTTAAGATTCTGTCTTTACACTCCCTTTAATCTACATTAGTACCTTAGCCTACTTTCAGGCCAGAAGAACTGGTAACTGAGGACTGTTCAGAGTGGAACGAGCCTCCTCTATATGACACTTTTAACAGAGAATGCTCACTGCATAAACAAGCATTCAAAATGTTTGTATTTTTACTCCCAATATTAATACTGACGAGAAATAATCTCTAGGTCAATGAGTGACTTGGCCAAGATCCAGAGTCAGAAGACCACATAAATACTTTTAAAGGAGTGATCTCTAACGAAAAATTACAAAAAAAACCCATCGGTAAAATTTTCCAAATATGTAATTCTCACAAAAAATATTTCCAGAAGTGTGAGAAAATTTAAGAAAAAAATAAAATCATATTTTAAACATAAGAAAACAGATTCAAAGAGTATGTGATTCTGTAGACCCATATTAATAAGTAGTAAATACAAGGATTTTCACCTCAAAATCCTTGTTCTTATTCTTTCGATAATAGCAGTATTTTCCAAACTGTGGTATATACACTACTGGTGGTGTGAAACAATACAAAATAAAATTTAAGAACATAAGCTCTGAATCGAACTACCTACCTGGCTCAAACCTTAACTGCTACTCTCACAAGAGTATGCGCAAGTTATCTAACCTTTCAGTGCCTCTGTATCTTCTTCCATAAGTAGTATAACACCACACTGTAGTGTTAGAGTCAGATAATAATTTATGTAGAACAGGGAGTAAATAGTAAGCATTCAATAAATACTATAAAGATGATTTTAGGTTGCACTTTGATAATTATACATTACTGGGATTTAAAACATCAATGCATCAATGTTTAATTAAAATAAAGCTAAAGGGCTTTTTAAAACTGTTTTTTAAAAACGTGTAGTTTATAAATAATAATGCAGGTAGTATGCAGATATAGCAAAAAGACTGGTAAAAAGATGAAAAAATAGCAACCTCACAATTAAGAAAACAAATTGAACTGTGAGATATCACAAATTGAACTGTGAGATATCATGTTTCACCCCTTAGCTTTGAAAAATTTTTTAAATTTAATATTACCAGTGTAGTTAATTTTTGTGTGAGGAAAAATTTTTCTGAGAACTCTTTTGTCTAGATCTAAATGTGACAGATCAAACTGAATTGCCATAGAAAGATATTCAGAGACAGTCAAGGTTAAGTAAATAACTACAGGATAATATATGTACTATGGGTCTGTGTATTTTAAAATATATATGTATTTTTAAGTTTGCATATTTGCTGAAAAGTAGATACAGAAATGCAAAACAAAATTCTAGGATACAGTAAATTATTATTAACATTGTAATTATGTGTAATTAACATTGTAATTAAGAAATGTGAGAGACAAAGAGTTGAAGGGAAACCATTTTCTTTAAATTCTATATAAATCTTTATTGTCCTACTCTGAATAAGCATGCATTATTTTCATCTATTACTTTTATAATATTATATTTCTAGAGGCAAGAAAACAAAAATTTCCCTATTATCAACTTAAGCTATACTCTCTAAAATTTATTTTTATCAGATGATGGGAAATAATTTTAATTGAAGAAGATACTATACAAACTGAAAGAAAAAAAGAAGCCCAACATTATTTCAACATATATAATATAAACTTGATACTAAATAACCTCACAAGTTACATGCACCCAAGCCAACAGTCTAATTTTAGGTGAAGTCAAACACAAGTTACACTGACATTTATCTTGAAAGATGTTCAAAAATGGTAAAGGAAAAAGTAAATGTTTAAGCTAATTATGGATTACATGGTATCTGGGCCCTAAAAGTATCTGTTAAATGCATCCCAACATAGAGGAAGCTAAAATAATCTGACTAGAGCATTCTGTTGTAATGACTTTGAGAAACTAAATAAATAAAAACTACTGTAAGATTAGATTTTACCAGTGTGATTATTTAACTTTGCTATAATTTCATAACCTCTATTAGGTAAAAAGTGTATAATATGATCAAAACTCCTGCCTTTTCAAAGTATAAAAGTTATTCAAAATCACATTTTTTTTCCTAAAATATAAAGTTTCATTTCACATCCAATTGTCTAAATTTAGAATAACACCAAATTTTCCATATTTTTTCATAAAAGTATTTTTCTCATTACATTAAATTCTCTCCCTAAATAATTAAGCAAAGACAGAATCATTTCATAGCTCTTACCTGTAAGTTAACCAAGGTCCCGAATCGACTAAAATGCTCATTAAGTTTGCTGATATTATTTAATTCTGGAGGAACTTTTCTAAGTTCAAGTTTGGTATTTTCATTTCCAAACTGAACCTTTTTCTGGAAACCTGGGCTGTTTGTTCTATTAAAGTTCGGTCTGTAACAAAATTCAAGTTAAATTAATACATTCATTTATAAATATTAACCACTATCAAGTACAAAAAAATAAAGTTTTACAATTTAAGTTCCTTTTTTTTTTTCAACATTGAAATTACTGGTTGATAATGGAAATTTAATTTTTCCAAAACAATGAAGTCTCCAAATTAATACTGTTCACACTTTTTATGGAAGCCAACTGAGAAGGGTCTTTCCATATCACTTGTTACTTGCCATTTTCAATCCACTTCTACATAAAACTCTTAGCAGGAAAGGTCCTAGCACCTTTTCAGTCAATTTGCATCTATAACCTTTGTTCCAATTCTGCAAAAGCTAGCTTACTGAAATATATCTTATCTTAAAATGTTATTTCAAAGGTAAGAATGAATATCTCAACTACTTCCCAACTTAAAAAAAATGTCAGAACTATAGGCCATACATTTGATACTTAAAAGGACAAAACTATGGCCCAGAGAGATTACACTGCTTACCCTAAAGCACAGAATTAAAGGCAGACACAACTAGAAATCATCTATTTTTACATGATGTTAAAGCTCTAAGTGTTATCTTAGTCTCTCCCTAAGCATGCAAATTTATAAATGAATCATCATACACACCCCAACATTCTGATTCCTTACTACTTTCTCTGAAGCCCTTCTTTGACAAGTTCAGTGCCTATCCAGCCTCCCCGACCCTGAAAAAGATCCCTTTACACCTCTTAGCAGGAATTACTCATATGCTAAAGACTCCTTCCAGACCTGACCCAAATTTTCTTCCCTACTAAGGAGCTCATGACTATCCTTTATATAGGTAGTATTCAATGGCATCTATAACATAAGGAATAATTTTTTATAGGTGGGTGGAGGTGGAAAGAGGAAAAACTATGTCCTCAACCATACCTGAAAATGCCTTCCAAGTACCAGACAACTAATAAAATTTTAGAAAACTTACACTTTAGTGGAGGACTGCCTACAGAACAAAATCATGAGTTATATTTTGAAAAACAGTACAGTCATAATAATTAAAAATTACTGCATAATAATGTTCCTCAATTTTCCCTGCCAGCTTACTTATCAAACCAAGTCTTCTTTGTAGTAACTCCAGGCTCCCCAGAACCAATGGTTCTTTTCCTTGACTCTGAATCCACTACTATCCTCATACTGCTTTTATTAGGAGGTTTTTCTGTTTGAAAAGAAAATATGAGAAAACATAGATTAATATTTTGTTTTTATCATAGCTACTTCCTTAAATTCATACTGAAACAAAGTTCTGACTTTTCGTCCAAATATATATTTTAAAAAATATATAAACGTACATTCAAATATAGTAATCTAAGGGATTTTAACTCATTCCAAATTCATTTCAACCTAACTAAAGAAGAGTCTCCGTAATTCTCACATGTCAAATTACAACAACTCTGTGGGCCACTTCTCTGGGAAGGCGAAATCCATGTCACTGTTCCCCCTTTGCCATCATCCTTGCCACAAATATGACCTTAAAGAATTGATAACTCGAGTTGTAATTGAAGTGAGCTGCTTAAATATCGACATATTAACATAATTATAGCATACCTGATTTTGAAAAGGTAAATATTTGAGACTGAAATGTAGTGCCAAAGAGCTATAAATATCTGCTACTGTCAACATTTTACATTTACTTAGTTGAGTTTGATACAGTACATTTAACTTGTTACTCCCAAATGATAGCAAAGATTAAAATAGGCAAACCTTAGTCCATAGAAAAATAAAACTTTAAAATTCCCTTTTTAAAGATGAATAAAGTGGTTGTAGAAATCCTATTCTTAGTATTTCTAAACACATAACTAACCAAAAGAACTTAAGATCTGTTTCAGCACAATCTTTCTCATGGCTACAACTACAACCTCTACACAGGAGACCACATCAATCAATCTCTCTATCACATGTGAACTCTGCTCTGAGGACCAGTCCTAAATTTCTAACCTCTTGGTTTTCTCTGGCCATCTTCTGCTTTCTACGGGTATCCTAAAACTATGCACAAATCATCTTCCTATTTAAAGTACTTTTCAAATCTTAAACATTTCTATTAATGAAACTACCATTTTCCCAGTCATATTTGATTTCTGACTCTGCCCACATCCTTTCAATTTATCTTAGCTGTATTCCTCTCATTTTCCACTGAGACAATGTAGGTACAAATATGCATTACTTTTTACCTAGTCTACTGTCCTGAGCTTCTACTTCCAGATTCTCCTGCCATCAACCTATCCTATATAGAGCTACCAAAATCAGTGGCCCAGAACCCTGCTGATTCTAAAACTGACACTTCCCATCAACATTTAAACAAGCACAAATTACTCTATTTTTAAAAGAAACTTTCTAAGACCACTTTCCTCTCCTGTGACAGCCTTTTCTCTCCCTACCCTCACAGCTATTTCCTAAGAGATGTCTACACTTGCTAAATAACTTTGCTTCCTTAAAACCCACTCATTTACTAATCCTCTGAAATTAGCAGCTGCTCCCACTACTGCACTTAATTTGCTCATGCTAAAGTAGCTGATGTCTTAACTTGTTGCTTAAACTTATGACTACATCCCAGTTCTTCTCTTGACTTCTCAAGAGCATTTGATGCTGCTGATCCTCTTCCCTTCCTTCTTAGATATTACCTTCCCTCGATTTTCAGTACTGCCTGCTTCTGTCTCTGCCCTTTTGGCTTCATTTTCTCAGTGTCTTACATAAGCTCCCCTTTCTCTGCCCATTGCTTCGGTGTTGGCATTCTCCAGGGTATTAACATGAGCTTTCTAATCTCACTATACATAATCTCCCCAAGACATCCTATCTATTGCCATAGCTTCATTCATCAGTTCAGTGATTCTCAAGGGGGAAGGAGGGAGTATCAGATACAAGAGAATGGCTTTTGGAACCTATGTCATCAGTTAGGCTTGCAGATTTGGGTATGCCTCCTTCCATCTTCCTTTACTTTGCACTATACTAAATGGAACAGAAGATTAAGAACCACTGTTCTACATGCTCATGATTCCAAAATCTGTATTTTCTAGCCAGCTGTCTCTTACAGATATTGGATTTCCAGATCTTATCTCACTTTGGACATTTTTACTCAAATGTCCCAGGCACACAACAAATTAAACACTTCCAAAGCTAAATTTATATCCTACCAAAGCAGTTCTCCCTCTCAATGATTATCATCTGCCCAATTTCCAGAGCAGAAACCTGGTATCTTTAATCTCATTCTCTCCATTTACCCCCATTCTAAGTTCTGCAATCCAGTAAGATACAAGGATTGCCAATTCTTTCTACTAAAGTTAAATCTTTCACTTCCCACTGTTACTCCCCTAGTCTAGTTACTATCACCTCTTCTCTAGAATTCTTCAAATGTCTTTAATTGGCCTCCTGCTCCCTCTGTTCCAGTCACAAAGTTCTTCCAGTTTCTTAAAAGTATTTTAGGGTATATATGTTTTATCTACCCGCTTTCTCTGGCTAACTCTGATTTATCCTACACAACTCTACAACAGATCAGGTGGAAACATCCAGTATCTAGCATGGGTGATGTTCACAGTGCAAGCTGCAGTTTCTTTGCCCAGTGGTATGTTTATAAGACCAGTTCTGCAACAGAATTTTTGACTTTTCTCTGCCTCACAAGTCTGGTTCACTGGCCCTTTTGCGGAGTCTTTGAGCTATCCAATATCCAATTTTACTTTAATGTGTGGTCTTTAAGATTCACTAAAAGAGGCAGTGATGTGTTTTTCCTCAGCAGTGGTGATGTGTTTGCTCCAATTCATCTGTAGTCTCTCACTCAGATTCTCTTTTATTGTCACTTACTTAAAAGAGAGTTAAAAAAAAAAAAAGAAGTCAAGTTCCTCTGGGTATACAAGAAGGAAATGTGTCTATTATTTATGTGTAGTGTGGTCCCCACCCCAATATTCTTTTAATAGTTTTTCCAGTTAAAATTTTCAGCACTGGTTTTGTTGAAGGCAAATGGAAAACTATTCAGCCCTTCTTCCTACCTATCTATAAACAATCAAGAGAGTATCTATCAAATTTTGACCTCCTTAAAATCTGGAAAGAACCATTATCAGGACCTCTAGGTCACATTTATATTAGTAATTCCAAGGCATCGAAGGGCCTAGATTTTTTCATTTGTTTAATAATGATAATCCCCCATCAAGTTTAAAGTATAAAGCATGATAATTATCACATAATAGTCTATGACAAATTTAAATTAAGGGCATCTGCGGGCTATTAGAAATACATAATTATATAATAAAAAATTATACAAGTTTTTAATTATGGATGTCACAATCCATGACATTAAATTTCAAACCAAATGGGCAACAGATGAGAACATTCTGGAGAGAGGGGGGACTAAAAAAAGTTATGGAGATAGAAGTACAGGTAATCCTCAATTTAAATGAGTTGCTAAATCGGTTCTGTGGTATATGAAAACAATGATATTAATAAAGAATATATTCCTAAAGCGGCTCAGAGAAATAGTATGTGATGTATCTAAAGAACAGTACTAAACACTATGTATTCTATGGGAAAAGGCGCTCTAAGTAGGTATACCAGATATTCATCTCTCAACAGGGCTACTTCCTATAACTTGTAACTGTATGCATGTGGAGCTGAAATGATCACAACTCCAACCTCCACACACTAAGATTTACGCACAAGGGAAGGTGTTTGATCCTTCTTCCTTCTCTTATCACTGCCAAAAAATTGGCCTGGCATTGAAATGGGTCTAATAAATACTGATCTGTAGTAGCACATATTTATGTCACTCTAAAAGCGCAAGATAAGAGACAACTTGATGTGGGAGTTCTAGTGAGAGCAAGGAGTACTGGAATGATAAAAAGAAAATAAGTGTTAAATAGTAACCCAAAGAAGGGAGGGGCTTTCTCTAAGCTAGCCAGGTAGGAGAGACTCAGGAGATAAATAGCCACAATCTCAAGTGGCTACTTTTCAATTACAAGCAATTTTATATTCCTTACATAGAAACTGTTAAAAATGTTTTTTCTTTCATTGTTAATAATAGTAATTAGAATGTCTCAAGAAGAATTTAAAAGAGGTAAAGGAAAGGAGGTATCCACATGAAATGTTATCAAAAAGGATACAAATAAAACTGGGTATAACTGAAAATGATCCTCACTCCTCCAATACAAAAACTTATTTGAATACTCAAAGTAGATGCTCAGAATCTGATAGTTTCTAATGAATCAACAAAAAAATGCAAAGTAATCACAAGTTTACTAAACCACATTATTGTTACTTATTTAATTTTTGTTTACTTTTAACATGTTAGAATTTGATATTAGTTTGCTTCTAACATTTTAAGCAAAAGGAGTTATATTTTAGAACATGATTCATTAGCTTTTAAAATTTTCTTAGAGGAGACAGACTTTTTAATGAAATTTCTAAATGGGAGAAGATAGAGTTTAGTCACAAGAAGATAGAGTTTAATCACAAGAAAATTTTAAAAGCTAATGAATCATGTTCTAAAATATAACTCCTTTTGCTTAAAATGTTAGAATCAAACTAGTATCAAATTCTAACATGTTAAAAGTAAACAAAAGTAAAATACACATCAAGCACAAGTTTGTACAGCTAATTTCATTATCTAAACTATGAAAGAATCTATCTTTAGGAATTAAAGCTTCACTCTCAAGAGTTTCAATGAACCTATTAAGACTGTATGTGATAGAAAATAATCCAACGAAAGCTACCTTAGAAGATATGTTACTTTTGTGAAATTTCTTTCCCCTCAGATGGTAGAACAAAGTGTCACCAATACACACATAGGGAACTACACATTACCTTTTCTTTCAAGGGAGACCAAAGGATCCAAGAAACAAACATAAACACCATCCCTTACTCAACCCCAATAAATGAGGGACTGACTGTTCTTCATAAACGTTTTATCACTCTTGATATCATAAAAATGATAAGAAAAAAAGATTAATTATAGTACCTCTGGGTGGCAAATCCATATCCCCTGATGTCAGTCCTATCAAGTTAGGCCTTTGTGCATGTACTCTATGTCTATACATAGGTCTGGAAGTGTTTGTTATGCTGGGGGCCTCAGGATTGTAGCCATCTGTGTCATATGTATCTGGTAATACAAAAACTGTAATTAAAAAACAATTATAAAACTCCACTTCATAATTTTTCTATATTGACAATAGAAAAAGTAAACTATATATTACTAATATATAACTAATGCATTTCACATGTATTAAAAATTGTTTTATAAAAATAAAAATGTTATTAAAAAGAAAATATAACTTTTAACTTTAAAATATAACTTTAACTTACGTTTAATGTACATTCACCATGTCTACATTTTATTTTAAATAATTTTAGTGGAAAAAAAAAAGACTTGCTAGTGCAATTTATTCTCTAGACATTTTTAAATTCTTTATCTAAAACTATGCTCTAAAACTATATTATATTATGAATATAGAAGGCCAAAACTGCACCTGCAGTAAAAAGAGAGGGTGGAGCAGGAGGAGGCTGGTGATGAATGCCAGTTGTTACTACAGTAGGAACAGAACTGGTTGCAGAGTTTGGGGGAGCATCCATGCCAGATGGCTGCAAAGGAGGAAGTGGAGGTGGTGGTCCTGTCAAAACCAAAGAATAAGAAATATCATCTGAAAGCAAACAAATAAAATAAGTTATTTGTATATCCAAACATGACATTCTCATTCATCAAACTATAATATCTAAAAACACCAAGCTCTTAAAACTGTATTAGTTTTCTAGAGTAAAATATCCTTTTAATGTATGCCAAAACAGGTTTGTCTTAAGCTATAAAGGACTATAGGCAGCTGAGATTCATCAGGAATGGGCATAATTCAAGGCCACTCCAAATCATTGGAAACCGTACGTTTCAAACAAAGTAGGGGTATATTCTAAATGGAACTATCTTGCTCTTAGTTTCCAGCAGGCATCTATAAAACTACTTTAAATACTTTTATAACAAAAGTGAGCATCAAATCATTAATTTTTTAAAAAGACTATGAATGGACATATAATAAGTACAGGTAAATAAACATATACTACTTACCTGTGACAGGTGGTAGACTGGGTGGTAGTGGGCCTGGCGGTGGCACTGGGGGTCTCAGATTAACGGGTGGGGGTGTAAGAATTGGTGGAGGTGGGGGGAGTCCAGGAGGAGGCGGTCCTTCAACAACAGGAGGTTGTGCGGGAAAAGGCAGCATACCAGGAAGATTCACATCTTCTACAACTACCGGGTCACTTCCATGATCAAAAGGGCACATGTCTCCTCTCATACAGAAACCCTTTTCTGTGAAGAAAAATTGAAAGAAACATGAAAGTGCTGGACATATAAATTTCCTCTAACGCAAGTGAAATATTTAAAAACAGAAATATTTTTAATATTGGACAAGTATAATCAACCGTATCATAATTAACCATTTCATAACCATACCAACTAATTACTAATAATATGAAACACCTATCAAGTGATAATATACTAATGTACACACTAAAAAAAGTCACCAAATTAAATACCTAGCTATCAAAATGGTATAAAACTTATTTATGTAAAAACTTATATACATGTCATATTTTTGTCATTAGGAACATCTGCTATATTTAAATCTCTCATTTAAAACTTAAAAGATATTGCAACTACAGCTTTAATACAATATATTCAACTTTTATAGTAAAACCTTAAGAGTCTTTAATTAATTTATAAAATTACAGGGGTGATAGTCACATTTTTAGGTTCTACTTACATGCCAACAACCATTCCTTTCTGAGTTTTGTCAAGAATAATTCAGTAGCAGATTCCCTGATAAATGACTCAGTAAATATTCTTCTTGTTTGGGAAACTCCAAAAATATATTAAGACTTACACGCAAATAAATATCTTTAAATTGATGTTCAATAGTCAGTGTGACTAATGGAAGTTTCAAAAATATTAAGGAATTCATGAAATGCTTAAGATAAATTTCCCACCATTTTCAATAGGTTAAGCCTTTGTATAATTGTGTGCGATCTAAACTTTCAGAATCTAGTCAGCTGGAAATACTAACTCAGTACTTCATGAAATAGTTGAAAGACTTACCATCATAGTCTCTACATCGTTTCTTTGGCATTGGTGGTCTGACATATGAGTTGTGGTCCACCTGATCTTCATGAAATTCAGACCAACTTTCGGTAGTGTTATTACCATGATGAGTAGGAGCAATTACTGTAATAGTGCTGCTCAAAGTAGGTACAGGGTAGTGGCCAGATGAAATATTAGGTACCGAAGAAACTGGAGTATAATTGTTTTCTAGTGGATCTGTTCTATCCAAGTCATATTTAGGCTTGACCAGATCTCTTTCTGCAACGAAACATAAATGACTTAAAAACATATATTCTATCAAAAAAAATGCTGAAGATCTAAGAAATAGTGTAATTTTTGCTAAACACAGAGAAAATGTTCAAATTTTACACAATCCTCATTTCCTTTTAAAACTACTCAATGAATACACAATGTTTCAAGATAAGCTTCTTTTTTTCAGTGTGACCTAAACTATAAAACCACACAAAGTTGCTGTATTTAATGAGTTTTTTCCTTGCAGTTATTTATCGAAAAAAGATAATTTTTAATCTTCTTCATTGCAATCTTAGCATACGTAACTTCAGCCTACAAAACATGCAATAAAATAAAAGTATGAGAGAGGAAAAAAAATGGCATAGATGATAGAGGCTCTGTCCATCTGTCTGGTGACCAAATCAAAGTTGTGATGGAAACAAGCAGCAGCAAGGAAAAATCGCCTGGGATCTAGATGAACAAGCCATACAACTAGGGAGAAATCCAAGAAATCACCCTACAATGGCCAAAGATAGGACAGGGCAAGGACGCAAGGCTGCCCGGTCTCAAGCAGCTGAGTGAGATGGACGCTGTGGCAACGACAGTGGCAGAAGCCTCTTAAAGAGGCCCCGTCCACGAGTGGATTTTCGCAGTGACCGACCTGCTCACTCTGAGCACCAGTGCCCATTTGGCTATGCGCAGGGGGCACCAGGGACTTACAGAAAGACATTGTCAGAAGCCTGAGAGGAGACTCACACTACAGAAGTGCTGGCAGTATCCACTGTTTCCTGTTGAGCCCTCCCCCATACCAATGCGCCGGACACAGTGCTGCCATAGCCATGACTTCATCAAACTGGGTTAACAGAGGTGTCTCCGCCCAGAGGATTCCCTGAAACCCCACCTCCCTCAACTTGCAGCACCACTGAAGCCATATCCAGGTGTGTCCTCGAGAGTCCAGTGCTCCTTGATCACACTGGAGCCAGTTGGCCTCAGTTTCTGGTGTGGCCTTTTGAGGCAACTATCAGCACAGCATCTGTGGAATGCTTGCTGAATATTAACTGGTGGCCCTGGAGGGGTAGAGGCTTTGGTCTAAGTTTGGCTGGCAGCTGAACCCCTCTCAAGACTGTGCCACTGGACACCTATTTCACAAATCTGCACTAATAAGACTGGGAGACTTACGAGCTTTGCTTAATACATAGAAACAGACACGGAAAGGAAGCCAAAGTGGAAAGACAAAGAAGCAGAAACCATATGACGGAACAGAACAGAGATCCAGATATAATGGAGTCAAGTAATCTAACAGATGCAGAGTTCAAAACACTGGTTATAAAGATGCTCAATGAACTTTTGGGAAGTGTAGATAAATTCATTGAGAACTTCAACAAAGAGAAAAAAACATAAAAATGGAAATGGAAATTATAAAAGGGAACCAGTCTGAAATGAAGAACACATTATCTGAGATGAGAAGTATATTAAATGAAATAAACAAAGGAATAAACAAAATTAATAAAGAATTAAATGCCCTATCTAGAGGATGAGAAAGCCAAGGACATGCAATCAGAATTGCAAGAGATACGATGCCAAGACTATAAAAATAATTTAAGGAGCGTATGGGACACTATTAAGGGTCCAAATATCTGTCTGATCAGTGTAACTGAAGAAAATCAAGATGCTGAACAGCTGTTTGAAGAAATAATGATGGAAAATTTCCCTAACCTGGTGAAGGAAATGGACATAAAATCCCAGGAAGCTCAGGGATCCAAAACTCAGGGATCCAAAGAAGCCCTCACCGAGACACATCATAATTAAAATGCCAAAGGTTAAATACAAAGAAAGAATATTAAAAGCAGCAAGAGAAAAACAGATAATTACTTATAAGGGAAAACCCATTAAGACTGGCAGCTGATTTCTCAAAAGAAACTATGTAGGACAGAAGGGTTTGGCAAGAAGTATTCGACAGAATGAAGACCCAAGATTTACAACCAAGGATTCTTTATGCAGCAAAACTGTCATTTAGAGTTGAAGGACAGATAAAGAGTTTCCCAGACAAAAATAAGCTAAAGGAATTTATCACCACCAAGCCGTATTACAGGAAATGTTGGAGGGACTTCTTTAAGAAGAAAAAATACAAAAGACTCCCTTTAAATTAATAGACACACACAGACTGAAAGGAAGGGGATGGAAAAAGATATTGTTTTGATGGACCTAGAAAGTATTTAGGTCAGACAGAGAAAGATAAACACTATATGATTTCACTTATACGCGGAATCTAAGGAACAAAAAGAACAAAATGATCAAAAACAGACTCACAAATATAGTGGACAAGTTGGTGATGGACAGAGGGAGAGTTTGAGGGGCTGGGAGAATGGGGTGAAGGGTTAAAGAAGTACAAATTAGTAGCTGGTGGATGGTTACAGAGATAGGGAGCACAGTATAGGGAATGCAGTTAGCATTAGCTAGGTAGAGGGTCAAGGGAGGGAGGGAGCATTTGGGGGCATCATTTTACGAACTATGTAGATGTCTAACCGATGTACTGTATACTTAAAACTAATTAAAATAAATTTTAAAAAAGTACAACTGGAAGTTTCAAAACAGTCATGGGGATGTAAAGAATAGCATAAGGAATATAGTAGATAATATTGTAATAATTATGTATGGTGTCAGATGGGTACTAAATTTATCTGGTAATCACTTTGTAAGTAATATAAATGTCTAAACATTATGTTGTATACCTGATACTATTGTATGTCAACTGTAATTAAAAAATAAAAAATTATTTAAAAAAAATAAATAAAATTACGGTTATTTAGTTGTCATCCATCAAAAGACCCTAACATGCTTTTTTACAGTGAACACTATTTAGTGAAGATGAGAATGAATGAGCAAAAAAGGAAAAAAAAGTTCATAATAAACATGAAGAAATTAACCAGACTGTATATGGTCCTAAGGAAAGAGAAAAGATATTAAGGAGATTAGTTAAGTGAAAAGATGTGCAGAGAGGCGTAGTATACATAGATCGTGGGGAAAAAAATCTTAAAGGGTTAGAGAAGTACATTATATATAGGCTATTAATATTATTTCCTAGATTAAAGATAACTGTATAATAAAGGTTGCAAAGGTAACAAAAATCTAAGCTTGAGTGAAGGTGTTTTACGCAAAAGTGTGTTAGTTGTTTTATCGGCTATGTCTTCCTTTCAATAATACACATTGCAAGAAATATTATACATATTAGAAATCACATGGTCTTGTAAATACATCTGAAATGAAAACTTTTAACTTTTCAGTTTCGAGGTATAACTGATATATAATTAACTGAAAATATTTAAAGCATACAATTTAAGGAGGGGGAGACTATTCTATGTGTATACCTGTGAAACCAAACACCACAATCAAAATAATGTACATACTGTACATGCTTATCATCCCCAAAAGTATCCTTGTGCCACCTGATAATCCATCCCTCCTTTAATCCATCCCAGGCAAACACTGATTTGTTTTCTATCATCGTAGGTTAATCTGCATTTTCTAAAGTTTTACATACATAAATACTAATCTTTGTCTGGCTTCTTTCACTCAGCATAATTATTTTGAAATTCATCCATTTTGTTGCACGTATCAACAGTTCTTTCCTTTAAATCCACTGTATAGGTTATAACACAATTTGTGTATCCATTCACCTGTTGATAGACATTTGGGTTGTTTCTAGTTTGGGGCTATTACAAATGAAGCTGCCAGGATCGTTTGGGTACAAGTCTTCATGTGCAAATACACTTTGATTTCTTTTAGGTAAATACCTAGGAGTGGAATGGCTGGATCATTTGGTGGGTGTAGGTTTTACATTTCCAAGATATTCTTAAAGTGTTTTCTAAAGATTCCAGTTTACTGCCATCCTCACCAATACTGGATAAAATCAGTCTTTTTAATTTTAGTCATTCTGATGAATGTGCAGTGATAATTCATTGTGGTTTTAAGTTGCATGAAATAATTTTTTTTTTTTTAATTTTAAAAGCAATCACCTGGACCAAATCAAAATAGAAAAAAAAGAAGAAAACGCTGACAAAATTTAAACAATTTTTAAAACCCTCAATTAAGAAGTGTTTTCACAATAAAAGAATGCAAACCAATATATACACATATATGATTTACCCCTGCTTCGTGTCCTGCTTCTGCTTCTAGTCCTGCTTCTATCCCTATCCCTGTCACGAAGCCTCTCTTTACTCCAACTTCGACTCCGACTCCTGCTGTAACTGCGACTTCGCCCTCGTCTTCTATTGTACCGGTCTCTGTATGAATCTCTTCGAGGAGGGTTTCGATCATAATCTCTTTTGCGAGAACGATCATCTTTTTTCCTCTCATCACGACTTCTAAAGAAATATACGATCACTTTCATGTAAATAATTTTTAGATACAGGAAAAACTCTAAATGCAAAAGTCATATTAAATTCTTATAACATCACGACTCTTTATCCCACCAGAATACAAATATAGGAAGCTAAAAAGCAACTGAAAAACTGAACATGATCTGCTTAACTAGTCCGAAACTCTTTTAAGGGAAAACAACTCTTAAAATCTTAATCCTTAATCTTATAAACAAAGGCATCTATACATTTAGGCATCTGTACAATATGTCTTATTGCATATATTGTCTTATACATGTATGTACCATGTCTCATACTTGTAGGCATGTATCACATGCACTGCACTCTAAATGCTTTTGAAGCCTTTATGGAAAAAATAATGTTTTCATGTTAAAGGGAAACTACAAGCAAAAAAAAAGTTTCACGTTACAATTTCATTGGAATTTGAAGTTAGGAATAAAAATAACAATAACTAATAGATGCCAACCACTGTGTAAAATCTCACTTCCAGGACATACAAATCTGACCTAGATATTCTTGGTAGAAGAGAACTGAATTACACTTTCCTAGACCAATAAAAGAGTAGACATTACTTGCCCTTCAGAAAAAGATAACTAACGTCTAAACAATGAAGATGGTTCAATGAATCAATCACCTATTTTCTCTGTATCGGGAGCTTGATTGGGGAGGACTGTGATTTAGCCTTCTGGAAAACTTCTTCTCTCGCTCTTCCTCCTTTATGATCTGATACACACACAAAAAAATGTGTAATTTTAATGAAAATTATTCCTTGCCATGTTACTACTACAATGATTTAACTGATATTAAAATATAGGAGCAAAATTGTCGTCTTCTAAAAGTATTCAAACAAAAGAAATTTCTCTTCTAAATACCATCATCTAGTTTAACCATTAAAGACAGGCATGCTGAAAGTTAAAGTGAATATAAAGAAATTCGTAAATGCTTGTCATAGATAACAGTAGTAAGAAAACATTTTAAGCAAGTGTCTTCATTTTAACATTACTAGTGAAAACCCAATTTTATTCCTTCTTTCAAAAGTCCAACATACATTCATGTTTTGGTTTCATGGATTTGGTTTGGTGCCAAACACCTTAGGGAATACAGGAGAATGCATAAGAACTAACCAAGCCAAGAAAAACACAACATTTCAGAAAATATATAAGATGAAATAGTTCTCCGGTTTCTCATAGTTTGGCAGTTATGTATTCCTCTTTCCTACAAGAGGCCTCCGCTAATACTATATAATTAATAGAAAACATTCCCTTGTTTAGTGCTACTTTCTCTAGGCCTGAATTTCCCATGCTGTACTGCCCAGAACACTGTTTCTATAGGACCATTAATAAGTATTACTAGAAAAAAAGGATTTGGAAGATAAACAAATTCAGGAACTACAAAATGTGTGGCTTCTGTAAATATAATAGGACTCAAATTTTGCATTTTTAATAAGAATCCTAAGATATTCTGATGCAGGTTGTCTACAGATAGTATAAAAATGTAAAAACGTTCCAATTGTTCCAGTTGCCCCAGCATCCCTTTAGGCAAGAGCCTCTCATTGTCAAAAGTGCCTCACACTGGATAAATTAAATGGAAATCCTATCAACAGACCAAACCCTGACACTGCTTAAAATCCTTCTTCTAACAGCTTGCCTTTTTTTTTTTCTTGTAAATACTTTTGTTCTCCTCCCACCCATATCAACTCTCTCTCAAACCCCCAAAATGGGTACAAATAAAACTCTCCTTATGCACTTTTTCCTTTCTATTTGCCTCAATGCACACTTGCCAGTAATTTATGTTGACAGATCATCATATTCCACAGTACATGCTCAGTAGGCAACTTTTACTACACTCACAGTATTTTTAATCCAGATTGCCATCTGACATTCTGACACTTCTGAAAAATCAGGGATAAATATCCTTAGCAATTGGTCAAAAAAACTATAGTGAAATATTATTATATCAACAGATGTAAGAGTAAGGCTTTGCCACTAAATAGTTTTGGGAGGAAGACTTCTTATTGCTTCTCAAACCAAAAGCCCATGATTTACTGAAGATTTTTTAAGAATTAAAATGTAATCTGTAACAACAAAAATCTGGAACCAATCCAAACTTCCATCAATGGAAAAAACATATATAATTAATAGTATGTGTGTATATATATATACACACACACATACATATATCTCTAAGTGGCATAAGCAGTTACCAGTACAATATCCACTAACTCTTTTTTCCTCATTAACAGAACCTCTACACTGTTTGGTATGAAATATGCACAGTTATAAAATTATGTCTGGTCTTCCCCTGCAAAGAGAAGTGATGCAGGTGTTTTGTGTGTGTCTGACTATATACATATATATGTATAAATACACTTTCAAAGATTAAAATGTATTTGAGTATTATATAATACATATGCATAGCATTACATAATAAACATGAATTATACAATCTGGGAAAAAGATTATAAGGTGAAAATACCAAAGGTCACAACCACATCTTCCACTACACAACAATCTCTCAATAATAACAGTAACTATCATTTACTGAGAACCTATACTATGTGCCACACACTTTGCCAGGTGCTTTATAGACATTATTTAACTGTATTACCATTTCACAGCTGAGTAAACTAAGGCTTAGAAAAGTAATGTTTTTAAGGTCACAAAGCACCAACTGGTAAAGCAAAAATTTTAACCAAGATTTGTTTGACCTAAAGCTGGGATAACTGTAGAAATATAATAGCATGTCAATTATTTTGCTGGAATTACAATCTTTAAACATCAAATTTAGCAGACCTAAATTATTATGTGATTATTAAACAAGAATGGTAATCTTGAATAAAAGGTAAAAACTTCAAAACTTCTTATAGTGTGAAGTCATTTCCATTGCCCTGTGAAGGTCCTTTATTTGACTACCTTAAATATAGTCTCCTACAAAATGCATGTAGAATAGAAACAGATCTACTGTCAATCTAATTATTTTCATGGAACACAGATAATGAGCCCATAGCTATAAGATACTGTGCAGAAGAGAATTAAAAGCAGGCCTGAGATTGTTATCCTTAGAAAGATTAGCTTGCAAGGTAGGCCTCTGGCTGGCATCTGTGAACTTTGATTTCTGGAAGGTTCTGTAATTCCCTTATAATAACAGTAAATTCTTATGCCTGAATTGTGTACATATTATAGTTTATGCTAAACACCTGCTTTCCTCCTGGGAGTCTGGAATTTTGGTACATACTAGGAAGAAGTTACCTACTCAGCTAGAACTAAATAAAAACCCTGACCACTGAGTCTGTAACAAGCTTCCCTGGTTCACACATGTTGTCCCTCCTTGTTAAGTACTCCACTGGGAGAGGCCTCTGGAAGCTTGTGCCTACTTTCCCCCAGACTTCGCAGCATACACTTTATTCCCTGTGATTTTGCTTTGTATCCTTCTACTGTTAAGAAATCATAACCATTGAGAATGATTATGCTGAGTCGTGTGAGTGCTCCTTGTGAACCTGAGGGTGGTCTTAAAGACTCCTGACACAGATACAGAAAATACAACTCACTTTAATTATTCCTTATATGTTTTAAAGAACATACAAGGGTTAACACAAATCCTTACCTCTTCCTTTTTTATATCTTTTTCTTGGTGCTGAAAGAATTCTACCTTTAAGCTTCCTGATGATGGTTGTTCTGGAGGAGGTAGGTAACTCTTTGTATTCACAGCATCAAAAAGTTTTTCCACAAATATCTGTGTCTCTAAAAATAGAACCAAAAAACACAGATTAAAAGACATCTGCTAAGATATTAACTCTCCACTTAATAGCTTCCCAACCAGTGTGCCATGGCACAAGTCTTGTAGTAATACTGACGCATTCAGTTTTCAGGGTGGTAGGGGCTAGAATGGCCAGAGCTTCTGGGCCAGTTACTTCCAGCCATGACTAATCTCCATGTACCATCCCCAGAGTGCAAAACACAAATATTACCATTATCTAGATGTTGGTAAAATGAAACAAGCGAAAAAGAACTGTGCTAGACAACATTCAAAGTAGTTTCCTAAAAAGTACTATCTTTGAATAAGCTAGCATTCAGTTATTTTCTTAATTTTTAAAGAAAAAAAATCTTTAAAAGAGCATAAGGACATTAATGAAAGAAAAAGCTTCCTTTATAAATAAGCTTTGGAAAAAAATCAGTAATAATATTACTGGTTCAACTTTGTTACAATTAGAACCAAGACTTACTGAGTTTCTTCAATACTATAAGTAATCTTATTTTTAAATAACTTATTAAAATAAAGTAGTATTTTTAAATCAAAGTTCTTACCTTTTTGAAGAAATACATCCAGTTGATCAATACACAATGCCTTTAACTCTTTTTCACTTTTGTCTTTTTTTACCAAAGCGAGAACATATTTTGCTAGGGCTGATGGATCTGCATCACAACTGAAGGAAAAAAGCAATGTTGAAGAAAATTTAGCCATAAATAATTTCAAGTTCTACAAATTCCATTTACAATCTGACTTAATCAGTATGATAGCTACATGAGTTAATATATGTAAAAAGTACCTGGCTCGTGGAAGGCAATAAAGTTCTCTCTTATATTAATATACTTTATGTAATATATGTAGTTGTCATTATCTTTCCAAATATATACTAATATATAAATTAAAAACTCAGTAGGCTTTATTATTATTAAAAAGAGAAACTATAACAAAGTAAAAACAATTTCAAAACATCAAAAACCAATAAAAATACCAAAAGGCTTTGTCCTCTCAGAAACACATAATAGCCAGAAAAACAATGAGAATACAATAAAAGGAAACTTAAAAACATACCACACGATATATTTATTTTAACAACAGAAAAAAAGAGTCTAGAAATAGATCCAAATATATATAGAAATTTAGATTTTTATAATGGTGGCAATGCAAATCAATGAGAAAGAGATGAACTATGCTACCAGCTCCTAAATTCATGACCTACAGGAATGAAAAATGTCCAATGTGCTACTAACTTAAGTTTCGGGGTACTTGATTAGTAATTGTTAAGTCAACTTTGCTCACAGATCTTCTTCTATTTATTTATAAAGACTTGAAGTAGGTTATAACTTACAAGAAGGAAAAAAAAGTCCATTTCAATGGTACATGAGATAAAAAAAAAAAAACTTTAAAATTTACTTCAATATACTTACTTATACCAACAAAATTTTAAATACAAAATAATTTATGGTAAATTAATATCTTCATGTTTTATTACAATGAGCATAGAAATACTTAGGTCTGTTATGAAATAAGCATGAAGAAATGGGACAATAATCTCATAATGTATCAGCCTATAGATAGATATATCTGGCAATCTGGTAATACTACATGAGAGACCATGAAATAATACTTATTCATGTTAGGTAACTTGAATAACATGATCGTTTACATTAACCCAACTAGACATTAAACTATATATACTTCAGTTTACTGGAAATCACTGTGTTACATAACAGTATCACTGTTATATAGTGTTTTATTACAACTGATGTTGATAAATTCTACACTGAGTCCCTAAATATTATAATTTGATTTAATATTGGCTTGACTGTTGTGGTGAATTTTCAATTTAATAATGGCTTTTCTAATGATCTGTCCACTTTACATTTCTCTAAACACAACACCAAATCTATTCCACCTCCATCCCATTATTTTTTAAACAGGAAACTCTACAAGTTGATTAAAATGTTAGCAGCTAAAAATATGGAGAAAGGTCTTTGTGATTTTTATCATGATGGTCAATGGACTACCGTTTTATAAAACGGCAAGACAGAATTTATAATCTTTTCTCAACAATTTCTATAGGAAACAATTATAATCAAATCAAGAACCAATTAAAGTCACAAGCACAACATATCAATGAACACAGACAAAAATTTTAAATGCCTGAGATAGTGTGAAAGACGGATTACTTTTTAAAATTTGTTAGAAGGCAAATTATATACTAGAAGTTTTTTAATTTCACATTTAATAGCAAAACAGGTAAATGTGCTTTCAAGAGACAATTTTTCTAAAGTCCTATAAGAAGTGATTTCATTTTTATTTCAGTATTTTTGAAAACAAACAAACAAAAGGTATGTACTTGCAAATTACAGCGTAGTAAAAAATAACTTGAACCACAGAAGTGTAATAATATATTGAAATGTTATGGACCAGGGAAAAACAAATTATGTGTTCACTTTTCTATTTGTCTTAAGTAAAAGTGCTAATGCTGCATCATCTGAACATTTAGCAATGATAACCTCCTATGCAAAATGAATGACATACAAATGTCTAAATTACCAAATTGAAAGAAAATTATATTTACATAGTAAGGCTGTTGTTTAAAAAAAAAAAAAAAAAAAACTGTCTCCATGGTAAGCAATTACTGTTCATTAGGTACTTAACCACACCAGTTGCCACTGCTGATAACAGGTTTGCGATTTGAATTATCTTGTCAGAGCTAGACTTTACACTCTGCTACAGTGTTAGCATTCTGGAAACATGTGAAAGAAAAGTGGGACTGAAATCTTTCAGATCAGAGAGAGACAAATATATATATGTAATTTTGAAAGGTTTAAGGACAAAGAAATAATACTGAAAGAGTGACATACTTCATTACCACCTTCAAGTCAAATTCCCACAAATGCTATATTCTATAAGTACTTAGCCCAGCAAAAACATAGTCTGCAAATAAAGCATGATTCTAACCACAAAATGCTTACAGGAAAGTCTCCAAAAGAACTGAATTTTCTTAATACTTAAATTAACATGAATCAAATCAGCCCCAATATAAAGGTTATAATTACCACCCTAACACATTCATCCTATTAGTTTTTACTTTTTAATTACATGTATTGTAATTGTAATTAAAATGTATCGTAATTAAAAAGTAAAAACTAATAGGATGAATGTGTTAGTGAGCTTTCAAAATAGTAATGAGTAAAGTACAAAAAAGCTAACACTCCAGTACAATTTCAAAAAGAAATTTGTTTTGTTTTGCTCAAGTTTTTTAGAGGCTTTAGAAATTCAGTGGAAGATAACTGATGAAATTTTACCCAGGCTTCCATTTTCAGTAATCTTGAGAAGGAGGAACTGGAGGTGGCAGTGGGAATTTAAAATTAAATTTAAATATGTTAACTCAGTAACTTTAGAACACGGATATACACCCACATCTGTTCCTACCAAATTTTCACTTTATATTCAAGAAAAATATCTAATTTGCATCAGCCATGGTTCTATTACTCTGTACTTAGAATTACTCTTTCGAAAATCCAAATTTCATCGCAATATAATACATCAAAAACCGCAATTGCTATAGTTAATAATACAACTTCAATTCAAATACAGAAGTAAAAATAGATTATTTGTATATAGCAGTTAGTTACAGCAAAGACTATTCATTGAGAATTATCATACCCTCTTCATTCTACAAAAATGACCAACACAAAATAAGCATATATAAACATGATCCATCCATGAGCATCATACAAACCACTTCTTATCACTGAAAACATCACAATACATGTAATTATAACACAGAAAACTATTCAATCGGTTCCTTCGTTTCCCTGTATTATTACTCCAAGAAATAGCAGTGATTCCTTCTTGAGAACTGTGGTTCTCAAATTTTTTGGTCTCGGGATCCCTTTACACTTTAAAAATTACAGAGAACTCCACGGAGCTTTTATTTAGATGGGTTATAGCAATCAATATTTGCCATATGAAGAACTAAAATTGGAAAATTTTTAAATTATTAATTTGGTTAAAAACAACAAATCCATTACAATTTAACATAAACACTCGCCCTTTGTGGGGGGTAATCAAAAGGAGAAATTTATTAGTACAAATAAATGGGACGTCCAATGGCGGGGTTAACTTCAGGCATAGCAGACGTAGGAGTTCAAATGATAGCACCAGGCCCCTCTCTTTCCATTCCGCTTTCCCTTGAATTTGCTCCATTTTCAGGAAGGTCCTTTCCATGTGGCAATAAAGATGGCCTGGAGCAGTTCCAGAATTACATTATTCTGATAGCTAAAAAAGCCAGAGAAAGGAGCCTGTCCTTCTCCTTCACCCTTTGCCTTCTCCGATGCATCACACTGGCTCTTTAAAATGACTCGTCTTCCCCAACATGGGCCATAACTCTATTGCAAGGATGGGCAGAGCTCAATGACTAATAACCTCACCAGAAATGAAATACCCTATTTTTTAGTGAAAAAAAATAAAAATAAAAATATTTCTACAACAAAATAAAATTTTATTGAGAAGACTCACAATGTTTCACAGTTTTTGTAATTACCATTAATGTCTGGCTTAGAAAACAGAACGATTCTATCTACTTTTACATTCCATCTATTGTGATATATGCTGTTTCAGGTGAAATATATAAAGAAATTTGGTCTCATACAGACTTAAAGTTGGAAAAGTGGGAACTTCATAGACCCAATGAAATATGAAAGGGTCTCAGGAAAAAGCCAGAATCTCTACACCACACTTGAGAACAATTATTTTAAAAATTTAGAAGGTATTTATTAAGTGTCTAATTCAAAGACAAAGTCAATCTTCATTTTCTCAAAGGTAAGAATCGGACTGTAAAACTCTATGCTGTTCAGTGCAAAGAGCACAGCACAAATGGCAAACAGCACAGACAAGAACCATCACAATGGTTCAATGTGATGCCACAGAGCTCTCTTATTAAAGTGGGACTGCAGATGAAATGCTAATATGGCAACCCACAACAACAAAACTCCACATTTAATATATGTTTTACATTCCAATTCACAGTTCAGGAAAAGTTGAGTTCTCTGGGACAGGGCTCTGCCTTCCAAGGACCACCCCTTCAGTTACTCATATATGGATTCACAGTCTACTTACTTACAGATTACAAAAGTAATATAAAATTTTAAAGTTATAAGACACCTAACCCCGTCCCCCTTTTAGAACAAATGTTAAAAGTAGAATTCCCTTTCAAATCTACTGTTGTCCTCTAAGCCAAACTGTCAGCCTTTCCTTGAAGTGTGGTATTATTTTAAAGCTGGGGGTGGGGGGACAGGCCTAGAATGAACTCCAAAAACCCCGGGATTTTCAGATTTCTAGTCTGGTGTTATCTTACTTCATTCATTAGTTTTGTAATCCCAGGTTAGTATGTTATTTCTCTAGGCTTCAGTTTTCTTTTTTAAAAACAAAGGCACTGAACCACATGATCTGGGGAAAAAACCATCATTGCACTCCATCCATCCACTCTTCTCATTTCCAGGAATGTTTAGTTAACCGAACTTTAAAATAAGTATGTAATAAAAAAATTTTTCCCTCTAGGTCTTTCTCAACACTCAGGAGCAAATTTTCAACTTTTGAGAGGGATAAATAATAACTAAATTCTACTAAGAAGAAACATTTTATATATTTCTCCTAATTTAGCAAACT